CTCGAAGGATGGCGATGCTGGTCCATTGGTCGATCCACCACTTTGGCCCAGACTGAAATATCTTAGCAGCTATTGGATGAATTGACATTCATGGTGCGCAGTAAAAGAATCCTGATGACTTTAGTGATACCCACACTTTTCCTCTAGCGCCACCGTTTATGTTACTCATGGGCTGAATTGTAAAAACTCTGGTGAGTCCATAACATTTTCTTTTGCACCATCATCAGATCAAACGCCTTTGTTTTATGACCACAGCGCTGTAAAACTAAACCTTAGCTGTGCTTTTTGTTTAGGGTTGAAAATGAGCAAATGTCAGCCAACTTGCAACTAAGACGGTAATCATGTTAAACAATATATATGCTCAACGTCAGCGTTTTAGCATTAGCGTTTAGCTCAGCACTTTAGTAGAGACTCTTACCCCACGCCCTGAATCCATATAATACTATGCAGTATGTGCTACATAGTTATTGTCATAGTATACTGTTTTTATAGTTAGTTTACAACAAAAATAAACATACTTAGCTGCTTTATATAATATATATATATATATATATATATATAGATATATATATATATCTATATATATATATGTATATTTGAAATATCAAAATGAAATGCCAGTTGAATTTCACAAAAGAAAGCAAAAAAAAATTTTGTTTTCGTTTTTCAGGAGCCAACCCCGAAAAATAATTCTTCCCAGCCTCCACTCCCTTTGGGCATTGCATTGTGGGAGAATACCATCCATCAATACGTGAAAACAATCGTATTTAGCATTCTGTTTGGTTTTTATCACAGTATGAATATATTGCATGCTAAAAAGTGGCTTAGAATTAGTAAAATTGTACGGATGTGGAATGTGCCGTTAGTCTTAAAGTTAACCAAATTTAACCATATTGAGTTCAATAGTCATTTTTAATTACATTTTTTGCCATCGTCTATGCACAGCCGTGGTTGCTGAGGTTTGTGAACCAATGTCAAAGACTGAATTTCTCCGCCCATCCCCCACTTATTCTAACGTGTGTACAAGGACACCGCAAATTTGGATTAGGGCCATAACATGTGCAAGCCAGACAACAGGAAGATAATAGAAACAACATGCCTGAGCTGGGTGTGTAGGTGGTGTACCTGTTTTGTGCAGACGGTTATTAGCGCCTAAACGACAAGCTGTATGAAAACAATTTATACATTCAGTAACAGCGTGGGAATGTTAACTGAAAACACGCTGCAACTGTAAAGAGTTGGTTTTTTTTCATTTCCGTCATGTTTTGCAATGGAAATGTCACTTTCTGCTCATTTATTTTTCATTTTTATGTCATGTTTCCTGCCTCATAGGTTGGGACTCAGAGCAATAACATGACCGATGCCACAGAGTTCCTACCATTACCTCAATATGGTGGCACTCAGTAATAATGGGAGCTGACATCATGCATGCCCCTGATGTCTGTCTTTGTGCTGCTTTTCAACAGCACGTTATTAACATCATTTAAGGTTTCCTCCACAGCCATACCCCCCCACCCCCTTTACTGGACACGGGGATGAGGAGACAGACTGCATTGTTCTACCAGAGCCCAGCTGGATTCAATGGCTGTGAGCAGACCCAGCGGAGCAGCAGCTACAGTATAGTTAGTCACACAGGTGGCAGGGAAATTACAGTGTACACATACTTGTTTGGACGTCTTCCACTTCTGGAAGCCAATAAAGACTGCAAAGGCTGCTGCCAACGAATGCAAAAGCTATACTTGGATGAAGACGTCTGGGCCATGCCAAGATATTGCTCACCGTTCAGAACAATATGTCTTAATGATCCCATTCAATAAAATAATGAATTGTTCCATTAGATCCTATAACAGGATATCTCTTGCAGGAGTTTGTGCACTGAAAAAACTCCACATTTGATTATTAACAATAGCTCTATTGTCTTATGTGTGTGCGTGCATTCTTGCATGTGAACTAAAACACTTCAGTTCACCAACCCGAATACTATAACTTGACTGCCCACTTCCTGTTTAGGGTTTTTTGATACATCACATGTGGATATAGTGTAAACACCAGTTCTTAGACTTAGATCAAACCATAAGTATGTGCAGCTCTGCAGTTGGACAGAGAATGAAGACACAGAAGCCTAAAAAGAGAATACTGCATGTAGCGCTCACATCCCTACAATCCCTGCAGCTCTTAAAGGACTTTTCTCTGGGTTGTCTTTTTGTTGCCATGCCTCTGTGTCTTTGCTTCCTCCTCTCTTCTCATGTTTTACACAGGGTGTGAAGCTGGACCACAAATCTCCTGTCTGGTGCCATCGTGGAGGTCCAGTGGTCCAGTTGCTAAATATGAACAGTGGTAGAGGAAGTATTTTTTTTTACTAGCAATACCACAATGTAAAAAAGAATTTGATGAGCACAATAAAGCCTCAAAAAGCACAAGTGGCCGATACAGGATGGCTCCTGTCGGTGTTGTATAATATCATTTATATTACTGAATTATTGGGCAGAGTTTTTCACATTCACATATAGAGCATAAGAGAGCTTAACTATTTAAAACACACATTCTTTATTAAACTTGTTTTGAATGTGGTGTTTGACTGTCTGGTACAAGGCCTCTATTTCCAGAAGAAGTCTCATTATTCTAAGTTTGTAGTGCAGAAATGCAGTTTTCTTAAGAAGCAGCAAATGTCTTCACGACAAGACGTCGACTGATGCATCAGTGGCACGATATTGAATTTCCACAGAAGAACAGCAGAGAAATCTGCTGCTTAGTTGAGATGGATAAGTTGCATATTTCTTCACACAATCGGCTTAACTGAAGTGTCGAGGACCTCCAATATGGCTGCCCCACAAGCCTGAAAGTGTGTTACTGTACATGGACTACTACTATTTTAACGTTACAACCACAAACCACAAGTGTCGTTGTACCTGTGATTCCAGTTATACTGTGCTGACATGCATACGGAAAAGAACACACAGATGATGGATTAATAGCCGAGAGGTGGTGAGACGGCTACAGGCCCTCCAGGGAACCGACCTGCGGCAGGGAGGCCTTCCAATCTCAACACATTGCTGCAGTGACTGTGTTTGCAGCCCTGCTTGTCTCTGAATAAAGTCATGCCATCGGAGGTGAGAAGCAAGACCTTATGTTGTTGCTTATCATAAGGAAATTCAAAACAGTTCGTTCAAACCACTTCAAACGAACCAGCGGAATATCGGGAGAAAGTATGATTGATGACCTGAGGCCATGAATTCATTATGGATAAATCATTGAAGCAAAAGTAAGTTTAACTTGATTTATCTGATGATGCTTTACAGTGCTGCTGTGATTAATGGACTCACAAACTGTAGTCAGGAAAACCTAATGAAATTAGAATTTGAAATTTGGTTTCATTTGAATAGCCATCAGGCACTGGTGCAAATAGCAAATGGATTCCTCCGCGTAGCTCCATGTTCGATGTCTTTAATCAGTTCACATTATACAACATTATACAAAGTCCATCAATACATTGATGGGGCATTACACACCAGGCCGTCTGCAGGGGAATAATCTCACAATGTTGTGTTAGTGAGTGGAAAAATGCTTTTATGGCTGCCACCGTACAGTTTTCTCTCAGCGATTAGCAACACATTGACCGTGGAATCACATCAACAGACATATTACTGCCCAAAAAAAATCAGCATTAGTCACAGGGATGAGATATCCCCACCATGAGGATTAGTCACTGCCGAAAAGGAACAAGGCTGTGTGAAGCTGAATAAGGGTTTACTGTTACACCTTTTGATTCCTGCTTAGGTGTATGAGACAGTTTCACGCATCAAATGCAGCTGTGTGCTATCAAAACAAACCAGGAAACTGTCAAATTCATCTCAACGAAGCCGTCTGAGAACAAATCCCATGCTGTGGGTGATGGCTTTGGATTATCAAAGGATGCCTTTCACAGTAGACACTTTTAAAAAGATGAGTCCCATCGTGTACAAATATAATATGTGTGTCTGTGAGGTGAATGTTGAATGTTTGTGCATAATTACAGCGTCTAGTCAATGGGTCCATCAGTGATAGCAGTTGTATTGTTCAGTCCCGTTTCATGCATGTTTGCGCAGCTGTACAGTTGTTTACTGTACTGTATGTGTGTTTAAATTGTAGATTTCATCCTTGGCTTTATCACGCAATAAAGTCTACCAAATCATTGGGTGAATGCAAGTCTCTTTTCATTAACTAGTGGAAATATTCTAAACAAATTAGTAATCAATGATGTTTAATTACAGCAGGGTCACATTCTAATGTCTAAATTGCCAAGGGCCAATTATACATTTTTAAACAGGTTTACATTAGTGTATGTAAAATTGTTTAGGAATGTTTTATGGAAGACATAAAATATGGTTAAATAATTTGGTATTTCATAAATGGTCCCCAACAGAAATGTAACCAAATAAAATTACATTCATATAGATTTGTTTGAAATAGATTAAGTGGGAATAAAATAATTCAATACTTATCAGCACTACTTGGAAATGTCTATTTTTTTTCCGACTGCATTTGAAGGCAGCATCTACGTATCGTGTGCATATAAGTCTATGGTCGCGTGCGGTGCAACAGTTTTGCCGCGATAAACGTAACAAACTGAGGAAAACAGACGCAGGTAAAAAAAAACTAAACTGAATAAAAAAGAAAACGTATTAGATAGTACCGTAACTTTCCAATACTCCCACCATGTTGTCAGTTAGAGCTGTGATAAGAGTGAGAAAGACAAAACTAACATGAGCCTTGTTTCACTATTAGCTAACTGTTAGCTAACGTTAAGATTAATGCTAACAATTTAATTACTAATGACAGAACCATGTATTCGTTTTAATCTAAGGTCTCCACTGTTAGGTAATGTTAGAAACTGGTAAATGCTTCAAAACCTTTTATCCTGGTGGAATTAAACCACAACTGTTAACTCTCATTGTTTTATTTGTTCTGCCTCTGTGGACAGAGTCTGTGAACGCACTAATAGCTGGTTAAAGTTATGAATAAACAAAATGGCTGCTCAGACCTACATTGCCATCTCTGAGCTCCACCCTAACTTCTCCCACCCGGTGAGTTCAGGTGATTTATTGAGATATGAGTGTGTTCCTGCTGCAGCCCTGAAAACAAAATCAATATATATATCAATAGCCAGGAACAATATTCTGCAATTGTGCAACAGGATGTATTTTAACTGTGTTGAGCAGTAAACATATCTGCACATATTACCCTTATGTGTAGACGGTGGCAGGGATCATCATTGGGAAAACTGATGTCAAAAGCTTTCCTGACAGAAAAAGTAAGTATCTTATATTACATTTGGATGTTAGTGTCAATAACGCATCCGTTTTACAGCGCTGTGCCTCAGTGTCTTGTACACCAGCCCCCTCTTCTGGAGAATAGATGAGAATACATAACAATTCATAAACATCCTCTGAGCCCCCCCCCACCTATACATCTGAATTTCAGATATTGGTGTCGACAGATTCACTTTTGGCTTCACCATTAAGGACTCACCTGACTTCTTCATTAATGTGACGGCCTGGGGGAACGATGGATACATCAACGGGCTCTCCAACAGCTTCGGCACCGGAGACTGTGGTGAGGAAGTCCCCCTCAAAGCCTTAACAATTCTTGAAAATGTGTGGATATGGCATAAATATATATTACTCATCAATATCAATATCAGTAGTACAAAATATAGCTTTGGTCATGTCCAACTTGTGATATATTTCTTTACTTGTAGAATGAAAATCAAGCTTTACTCTAAGTCACAATAGAAAAAACAGAAGGTCATTTTTTTAAAATGTTTAATGTCGTCGCACAAAACTGTTTCTTATTATTTTTCCAGTCATCGTTGAAAATCCTTTAGTTACCAACAAAGACCCAGAGAAAGGGGACAGATTCTGTCCCACAACACCAAGGTAATTAACACCTTAAATGCATATACTGTAGAAGAATTAGTTGTGCTTTGAATAGCTGAAGAGTAGTGAGGTTAACACAATGTAATACTGTCTAAAATGTGATACAACACAATGTAATGTCTGATGACGGTGTCAAAGCACTTCCTGGTTCAAAGGCCTGCGCCTGCTGTCTCAGCCTCTACAGGCTGCTGGTGTCGGAGGCTCATTCCCAGGTGTTACTGTGTGCCGACACGGGCGCCCTCGACAGGCTGCTGCCACTGATCCACCTGCCGGTGAAGGACTCCCGAGATTTCTACTCTCTGGCAGACATCGTTGCCAACGGGCAGAAGCTGGATGGCACGGTGATAAATATACTGGCTGCAGTGAAATCGGTAGGGCGCCTTCAGGTCACAGTCTTTCAGTATTTAATAGTATTTTTGAGAAGTTTGCCTTTGAGTACATTTAGGTATCAGTTATGTGCTGTATAAATAACATGTATTGCTGTCATTGTCAGCCACACGAGATATTTAGAGCCTACAATCTAGCGTTAAATATTACAATTGCAGAGATAATTAGGATTGCGACAGACCAACGTACCATAACGGCCCTAAAGACGTGCCTCAGTGTTCAGACAGAGGCCAGACCCCGCACGTAATGTCACTGCAGTTTTTACAGCATATTGTTATCGGAGCGTCAGATGATTCTGTTTACATTTTCAGATCGGAGAGCTGAAGCAGTTCACCACTTCAGACAGGCGCAAAGGGCAGAGGCTGGAAGTGAAGCTCTTTGATGACTCTGTCTCTTCCTTCCCTCTCGTCTGGTGCGTCATGCTGCTTTAAATCATTTGGAAAATGAATAAAGATGAATAACTTTTTGCTGCTTTTGTGCGATATTCCATCCTACTGGCCCTTTGGATGACTGCTGTGTATCTTTAGGTCACCACAAATTTGACTTTGGTGTTATGAAACTTTAGATTAACCTGCTGAACTCCACGTGTGTTTGATTTTCACTGAGTAACTCCCTGACCTCTGTTTCACTCGCAGCTGGGACAGAGAAGCCATTCAGCTCGTGCAAACGTTGATACCCAAGGAGACTGGTAGGTAACAGCTGCTGCTCATTCTCAGCCACAAAAACAAATCTTTATTTAACCTGTTGTTCCTGCCTGTCACATCCCGTTAACGTACCGCACCGCAGAGAAACACGGGAGGTGTACACCTGAGACGTGACTGTGTGTTTACGTTTGAGATAGCTTACTGTTGTTTTAACTTCTATTCTTCCTTCAAAGTGCTCTTCATAGCCGATGCAAAGATTGGCTTTGACAGCTTCCGCAACGGCATGACAGCAACCGTTAACTCGAAAACTATTATCACCGTCAATCCTGGTAAGATATCGCAGCAACGCATGCAAAAGCATGAGATCTGATACATCTGTCTATGCGCAATCCATCAAAAACAAGGTTTTCAGCCATGGTATAGAGTGTTAGGGGGAAAAAAAGTATCATCTCACTGCTGTTCAAGCCATTCATCATCTTCCCTCAGACACAAGAGAGGCCAGTCTGCTGTTCAGCTATGCTAAAGAAGTGTCTGAGTCTGGTGCTCTGGATCAGGATGAGAAGCCAGAGGATGTGCCTGGTGGGTCATAGTGAGGAATTCTACTCACTGGGTACTCGGATCCTATTCCTCTTATGTTTGACTTTTCTTTCTCTCTTTTAAATTTCACCCTGCCACTTAATTCTTCCTTCTGTAACACACTGAAGTATCAGATGACGATGTGACAAGGCCTGTGTGAAAAGACTGCAGCGACGCAAATGTGGTGCTGCTTTTGTCCCCGCAGTGGATTCCATCACCGACGTGTACACAGTGAGCCAGCTGAAGCAGAAGGTCCAGGAGAACCCTGAAGCTTTCTTCGGCATCACGTACAGCTTCATCTCCAGGCTGGACCTCGACTCTTCTGTTTCAAAAGTCATCAGGACGCGGTGGTGAGTCCACACAAGCGCATAGAGTGGAGGCATTCATAAATAGTTGCTGCTTTCATTGTACTCGTGATGATAGCTGATAAACAGTTCCTTGATCAGTGTGTTTTCCTCATCGTCTCAGCTCCAGGTGTAAGTTTCAGGTGACTGAGGACGCACAGAGCTGCACCAACCTGTTGTGTCCAGGGAGGGATCAGGCTCTTTTAGCCGCCACAGGCTTCGACCTCCTGGTGGACCTCACGGACCACACCGGCACCCTGCGCGCCTGCAGCCTTAGGAGCTCAGTGGCAGAACAGACACTGGGCTGTACGGTCAGTACCAGTTCACAGGAGGAGGATTATTCAGCCTCAATCCTACACGTGGTAGCTCCTGTGTGTAGGGATTAAAGAACATGACAGAAGCCAGATGAATACCAATACATGTTGGAAACAATAAGAGATAAACAGAATTTGTGTTCCATCTGTTGTAGACCGAAGAGTTTACACGTTTGACTGATGACGAGCGGACCGCGATGAAGTGGAAATTCCTTTTGGAGAGATGCAAAATATACGTGAAGGTAATAGTAGCTTTTAAATGAATGTCATATGTGTGTGTTAGCTATAAAACCAAATCATAAATTGAAAGATTCTTATAATATGTTGTAGATAATCCCTTCCACCAAACTGAAGACTGGGACCAGGGGGGTGGTCCTGGGCTGCTCAGTGGCTGACCCAGGAGAGGTGAAGCAGCACATGTCCGCCCTGCTGCAGCGGCTGTGATCACAGCACACGCTGACAGAGCAGGAAAGCTCGTATGTTATAATCAGCTGCTTTACCTGCTGTGTGCGACTGTTCTGACTGAGATGTTAACAAGAGAAATAGTCATTTTTACATCTGCAAGATTTGTGTTTTGTTAATAGATACATTCTCTGTAGTATTTATTTATTTATTGAACGTATTTAAATATATATGTTGAAGTTAATGTACTGTTGGCGGGACTTCTTTTTACAACTGTTAAATAAACTAATTTATACGTTTATTATGTCAAGTGTCAAATGTATCAATCAACATTTCAATGACAATTTAATTTACTGTTTACATTTTTTGATTAAATGTTACTGTTGTTACATTTACCCATGTACATTTTGACTAAATCACTACTTTATTAGAGTACAGTCTTGTACTGTTGGTCAGTATAGATTGACTGCATATAAAGAAAGCTTTTTACATTTGCTAAACTCAATTTTACACCAGTAATTTCACCAAATCTAAATTAAAACACAATTAAAGCAACAGTTTATTTTTACAGGACTTTAGTTGTTACTGGTATTTATTTCACCAATAGGATAATCTTACAGTATCATTTGAAACACAACTAACATATTCTGAATAGTCCGATGAGTCCGAGTTGAATTATTGGTCATTTTAAACCTTTATGGCTGTGGTCCAGTTGTCCTGCTATGATACAATAAGTCAGTAGGTGGCGGCAGAGTGCTAGTTATCAAAGCGGAACATTTGACACATCGTTGTATGTTGCTACGGGACACTTTACTGGGACGTACTGATTTGTCGTCAACAACTCAAGGTAATCTAAACTTGTCAGCTTTATTCTTGTAAGTAGTCGAAACTGTCATACATAATATCCTACAGTGAAACATCTTTACAGTCACATTTTTGTAGCTTAAACGTCAGCTAACTGTCTGCATGGCCCTTATATAGCTATCTGCTAACGTTAGCCTGCACGTTAACGTACAGGTTGACTCATATCTCCACAGTGTCACAATAAATTAAACCTGTTGAAAGAAGACATTTAACGGTTTAAAAACTGCAGCAGCTGACTGTCTCCTCTATTTCCACGCAGTGACCGCGTTACATGCCTCGCTCTGAGCGGTGACAGCCAGCAGTCGTTAGCATGAACGTGAACCAGGGGACGGTGGGCAGCGACCCGGTCATTCTGGCCACGGCCGGATACGACCACACTGTCCGGTTCTGGCAGGCCCACAGCGGGATCTGCACCAGGACCGTCCAGCACCAGGACTCCGTATCCTTACTCTGACTAACGAACAGTGTGCTCTGACGAATGCCAGTACTGAAGATGACATCAGTCGAGTGTGTCCTGCTGCCTTCATAGTAGAAGGAGAGACTTGTTTCAAGTTGACTAATTAAAGCCAAGCTGTAATATATTATAAAGAAAATATGCACAACAATCTACTTCCTTAACATTTGCTCCCAGCAAGTGAACTCACTTGAGGTCACACCCGACAGGAGTATGATTGCAGCTGCAGGTCGGTTCAGAACGTCTCTCGGATGTTCTCCTCCTCCTGGATTGCACAATTGAAATTCACAGCTGCCGTATTATCTTCCAGTCATTTCCACTCTTGCTTCTCAGGTTATCAGCACATCCGCATGTACGACCTGAACTCCAACAATCCCAACCCGGTGATCAACTACGACGGCGTTAGCAAGAACATCACGTCTGTGGGCTTCCATGAAGATGGACGCTGGATGTACACAGGAGGAGAGGACTGCATGGCTCGCATATGGGACCTCAGGTAAGGAAATGCCCGCTGTGCTAAAACGCGTTCACTCTGCGTTCAACAAACCTAACTCTGATCCTTCTGCCGCCCCTCTCAGGTCAAGAAATCTGCAGTGTCAGAGGATATTCCAGGTCAATGCTCCGATCAACTGTGTATGCCTGCATCCCAACCAGGTGAGACATTGACTGGTGCTAATGCTACTGTTTACTTTTTATTTTAGCTGTTTAAATGTGTTTGTTTGATTTATAAGTCAATTAAAGTACGTGCTTCCTGCACAAAAATGTCAGTCAACATTTAGTGTTGTATGTTTTTTCAGGCAGAGCTGATTGTTGGAGACCAGAGTGGAGTGATTCACATCTGGGATTTGAAGACTGACCACAACGAACAGCTGATTCCTGAGCCAGAGGTCTCGATCAACTCGGTTCACATTGATGCAGATGCCAGTTACATGGCAGCGGTCAACAGCTCGGTCAGTCCTCAAAACGTCTGAGAAAGGGTGCTGCGCGTTAAATCATACTCCATTATTAAAGCATCCTTTTGTTTTGTTTTTCTGAACAGGGAAACTGTTATGTGTGGAACCTTGCTGGAGGCATCGGAGATGAGGTGACTCAGCTCATCCCAAAGACTAAGATCCCCGCACACAAGCGCTACTCCCTCCGCTGCAAGTTCAGCCCCGATTCCACGTGAGTGCCCTTCTCCTCTACACACTGTAAATCTTTCTCTCCGATGTCATTGCTGATGATACGGATTTTTTTTCGTGTTTATTGCCGTCAACCTCCAGCCTGTTGGCCACCTGCTCTGCAGACCAGACCTGTAAGATCTGGAGGACGTCTAATTTCTCGCTGATGACGGAGCTGAGCATCAAGAGTAACAATCCCGGAGAGACATCCAGAGGCTGGATGTGGGACTGTGCTTTCTCTGGAGACTCCCAGTATATCGTCACTGGTCAGTACATGAGCCCTGGCAAATGGGTTTTCATCATTGCAATGTCAATATACTTGCATCATAACCAATTTCAGGGTCTGACTCTTCTCTTCTTCCATCCGCAGCCTCCTCGGATAACCTGGCTCGTCTGTGGTGCGTGGAGACGGGGGAGATCAAGAGGGAATACAGCGGCCATCAGAAGGCCGTGGTGTGTCTGGCCTTCAACGACAGTGTGCTGGGCTGAGAAGGAGGAAGGAGATGAACAGATGTGCAGACAGTCTGTGCAGAAGTAGAACAAGGACATAAAAACATTGTGCCTCAATTGGGAATTATAACAACTGCTCCCAGAAATGATCACCTTGAGAAAGTTGAGGCTTGTGTTTGGACATTACGATGACTCTCAGCTGTGCGTTCCAGGATATCTACAGCGCTCTTCCTTGCCAAATGCATGTAAGTATTCAGCATAGCAGCAAGGCAAAAATGTACATACATAAAGTCGAAAATCCACCTTAAAGGGCCAGGCACACCATTTTGAACCAAATGCAATCGGTTGTACGGGAAAACTTCTGAACCAACCGTGTAGAAATGGGTAAGTCTGATTGAAACATGTTACCTTAAATACTGAACTTTATGTTTTTAACTTCATCCCTCTGTGCACAGAAGGAAATCCTTTTCAACTCTTTGTTTTTATCGTGCACCGTATTTATTGTGTCAAAGGGACAGCGAGTTTCACGTCAACTTGGAGTTATTTCTCACATGTGATGTGTATAATTCATTTGATAGTCTTGATTCAAAGTTAAGTTGTGCTACTCTTAATGATCACGTGGATTAGGAAGTGTCGAGAGAAACGATGTACAGGAAATGATTCTGCAGTAAAAAGACGTCGTTTAAAGAAGTGAGTTTTGTCTTTCTTCCCCCCCCAGTAATGAAGAAAAAAGGCCACAAATGCACAACAGTCTTTTATTTAACAGATCAAAAAAAATCGTATTGCGACTGAAACGGATACACATAATTATACTGCTGCAGTGGGTTACAGGAAATACAATTAGAGGCATGTAAAAAAATCTCTTTAGTGTCCCACCAGAGCAGATATTATGCATGAAGAGAGTGACGATGGGGCTTTGGCGATAACCGCGACAGCCTGTCTCCATCTCTTGTCTCTCGGAAAGGATGGAAGCAGACTGGGAGTGTTGGCTGCTTCACTGGTTTGCTAGTGGCTGTATGGCACAAAGGAAACAGTCAAAGCTGGCTTTTCTTTTGTGTTTTTTTTTTTCTTGTAGAGGGAGCTAAAAAGACAACTTTGTTTGCCTGATCTTTTGCTGGGAGGAGAGGAAGAGAATACACAGTCACTCTGGCAGGTAGTAGAAGCACACAGACACGCAGATATTGCTGGGAAAGCAGATGTCGATGCAGAAGTAGACCAGCCTCTGTTTCCCCAGGCCTGAAAACGAGACACAGACCACGGTGACTATAAGAGCAAACGTAAGATACAGATCATCATAGTGGAAACAGTGCAGCATTGACTGTGAATGGTTCAAAGGTAGCTATGAAAGATGAAATAGCCCGCCTCCCTAAATTAAGACTATTATCCTCTAATTCTGCAAACATTACCTGAATTTCATTTTGTAAAACTTGAGAAAGAACTGGCGTACCCCACTTTCCTTGACAAAATGTGTCACAACTTTATTACAAGAATAATTTTACAACAATTTATGGTCTAAAAGCGGTCTGATTAAAGTGTGAAACGGCTTTTTTTTTCCTCCTATCATTTACTGCAAAAGTAGAAAGGTCACAGCTGGACGTCATAGATCAGTTTTAAGTTTCAGCCTGACGCGTTGCTTCTTTATGGCGGTGCCAGCTGGCTCATTTTGAAAGCTCCCTTCATACGGTGTCTGTGGATACTGACAAGTGATGCGTGTGATATGACCGTGCGTACTTTACTAATATCTCAGATAACATGTCAGTTGACACGTTTATCCAAATGTCAGTATGCAACTAAATTAAAAGCATACCATCGTTGTGCCTCTCGTGTTTGTGTAGCCATTTAACAGATAAGGTTGGCGTTAGTCTTTATTTATCTTACTGTCAGCACATTGTGATAGTGAGTCTCTAAATACTCTCTGGCTTCTCTACCTTCTCTAGCAGTCAGCATGGAGCCCATTTGTTTCTACTAAATACAAAAATCTTTAAAAACAAGTCAAAATATATATTTAAATATAATTATTTAATGTGGGGACTGTAGTTTTTAGCAAACGTCGGTTAAAAGGGCATTTTTTTAGGATAATTTTCAGTGGCTGGTTAGTACACATTTGGTTCGCTCGTGAGTATTTACAGTACAGCAGCAGGTCAAAACAAACTACAGTGCCCGTGTTGATAGTAATGAAGGAACATGTCATCGAGTGCAACGGGTGACATTGTGGAATCACTGATGTGGCACAGAGACCCTTTTTTTTTTTATAGCCAGGGTGGTGATCAACACTTCCCCCAAACCCTTGTCCTTTTCTTCAAGCCTTTTTTAACATGACATTGTGATTTTAAGTCTAAAGTACGAGTTCTCACCCTCGACCCTCCTGGTCCAGTGGATGGAGCTGGCCTGACACAGAGCCTGGAGAGGCTCCTCCAGCGTGGACACGTCCACCTGACTGTCCGCCAGCACTCCCAGGAACTCCATCTGCCTCCGGGTCTCATTCCCGGACAGCTGGAAGTGACTCTGAATTGGGGTCAAATCAAGGGAGATATGAAGAAGAAAACTAAGCTTGAAACTCAAGCTGCTTTTAGCCTGATATCTTCACTGCTGAGGTCAACACCGTTTGCACATTTGCGCTCTTATTCGTCACAAAGGCTGCACCACTCACACCTGCGATAGTGAACCATTTAATGTGCCGTTGTGCTCGAGTGGGTCGCGTTAACAACCAGTTTTTCCCTTTTTTGCTGCAAAAGACCAAGAGGACCATTATGCTGCAGAACAGAGGGATGGGCCACATTTACTCTCCATCCATGAGAGGGGCCCTTTCCCCTCCCATCATAGATTAAAGGACCACAGTCTGAGCTGAGGCGCTGTATGAGATATGTGACACCGCAAGACGGGATCGCAAAAACACTCAAGAGACTCAACTCGAGGTGGAAATGGTGCTATTGTGCAAAAAAAAAAAAAAGATGATATGGTGGAGAGACAGAAGTCTCATCTCAGTTTACCTGCAATGCCCCCACATCATCACCTTCACCTTCTCATATTGTCAAACCACAATTAGGAATCAGACAGTCCCACACAAATCATATCTGAAGGCAGAAGGGCTCAATTCAGAGCCAACAATGGACGCCAATATGAGAGATCCAGGTATTTGTCACACACAGGCCCTTCCCTTACCAACCAATGCACCGGGCTGTATTTTGAATCCAACAGAGGAGTCTTAAAAAGCTACAAAGCCCTCACACAGAGTGGCCATTGTGCCCGCTCCAGGGCCCAGGCTCGCTGCCGTATTAGCCTCCTGTAAGAAGATCCTGGGCACGCTGTGGGGGCTCTGGAGGGATCAGATGTGCCGAGGAATTCAGCGAGAGAGGGAGACTATAGCGCCTCTTCATGCGGCCCCGGCTGCCTTCACCCCTCTCTTTGTAGCAGAGCGGCGAGGAAGTCATGCAGAACCTATGAAACCCAGAGAGTCCTGGCTCCCTGGGGGGGGGGCTTCTGGGATTAAGTTTATGAGTCAAGGTCAGAAATGCCAGTTCACACATTAGCGAGGCGGTGACTTTTCGAAAAACACTTGGCAGAGTTAAAAGGGCAAACTTTTCTTTTTCTTCATTTGCCCAGAGTGCGTTTTCATCTTGCACTTTGTAGTCTCGCATGTCCCGAACGCGACGAGGGAGAACCTATTATGTTACTGCTTGCTTGCTTCGGTTCTCACGTGTTGACATGTCGCTGCCCCCCCGTTACCTTGTGCGTGGACTCGTGGAGGAGGGAGTGCACGTTGTCATAGTCGGACTTCTCCATCGTTTGCAGGAAGCAGCTCTTCTGGTCGACAGGCTTGTAGCATATCAAACCCTGCAACACAACAGCAGGCAATGGCAATGGCTTGTAGCATTACCGAAAATATATAACACACGTATAACATCTCATGCATATCACCTGGACGTACATGTTTGATATCGAACAGCACGGTGGACGTCTGGTTTGCAGGTGAGGTCACGGAAAAGGTAACCAGGTCGTTCTGCTGGTCCACAACGGCCGACTGGTTGATCAGAACTCCGGTCTGATCTGGGACTGTGATTCGGACAACCTGTAGAGACTACAACAGCAAACCGATTAATGCAAGCAATGAATTAGACCTCGGGTCAGAAACTATGGGCAATGTATATAGATAATGGTGGCAGTCATATACCTCAGGGTGAGGCTGAGAAAGCCCCAAGTGCCCCGTCAAACCGAGGGCAATGACGACCAGGAGCAGTGAGGCCGAGAGGCTGACCCAGAAGGTCTTGTGCGGGAAGTGGGACTGGGTGGACGCAGCAGAGCCCCCATCCTGCAGAGGCGTTTACACACACAAGAGCCAGTGACCAGCTATTTCACTTCACATCAAACTGTAGCAGGGTGGGGAACTGTCTGGCTGCTGAGATTTTTTTTTAACATAGAGCAGTATCTGCAAGTCCCAACCTATCATGCAACTATCACTTGTTATGTGGGCCAAAACTGGATTTGAATACAAGCAGAAACATGTCCTGCCTTCATTCCTTTGCTGGCTGAAATGCATATATCTGTCCTCAGTCGGTAGCTGCTCTTTAGACTGAAAGCCGTCGGCTTACCGTGCACTGTGCTTCCTCCAGACGGTTTTCTGAATGCTTCCAACACCTCACCATCCTGTGTCCCTTTGACGGCTCCTCACTCGGTCTGCTCCCTTCTCGTAGCTACCGGCATGGAGCTGTGGTCATGACTGAGAGGCAATACACCTGGCCAGCTTCTCTTTGTCCCTGTAGACCCCCACCCCTTTCCTTCTCCTCCTCCTCCTCCTGTGGTCTCACCGTCTCCCTCCCAAAACAGTCACCCACGACTCCGAATCCAGCCAAACTCAATTTTTCGAGGTCTTGTCTTCCTGCAATTTCCTCCTTTTTTTTAACGTCTAATGTGACTTATTATGCATCTCTAACGTTACCCATCTTTCCAATGTCCCCCCTCACTCAAACACACACTTAAACGAGAGGACTTGGCGGCCCTCCCCGGCCCAGACAATGGACAAAGAGGGTGAGACAGGTGCAGCTTGGAAAGCCTCTCTCTCATCAGCCGAGAGGTGATACACGCTTCCGACTGTTTGCAGCATCCAGCCGATGACAGTCCCAAGGTGACTTTACGCACGGGCCTGAGAGGGATGTTTTGCTTTGTTCTCTTAGAACTCACAGCCACAGAGAGCAGACGCTGATTTAGTAAAGATAGTTTTATTCTTATTTTTGAGCATTACGTTCAGTGATTCGGGGAGTCAAGGACAAGTCAGAGAAAACAGGAGGTAAAAGGAAGATCGGGGTACCTTTTTAAACATGTATGCTATTCTATTAACCACTGGTTCACTATTGAACTGACGTGACAAACCCCGGGTAGCATCGCACCATACCATGAATATACTGCAAATGTTTGCATTTTCTGCTGAGGTGTGAAAATACATTTAAAAAACAAACTCAGGCCAGTTCAATGCCTTTTGGCCCCCCCCCATCTGTTATTTATAGACTCTAAAACAGCTGTAAACCTGAACACACACACACACACACACACACACACAACCAAACCGTGGACACATTTTGTGAGCTCATTTCCCTCCTTGAGTTTGACTCGTAGTTGCTTAAGAGGAGATTGCATCACAGGCTGGGTATTTAAAGTACACTCTCCTACACACATTGAGACAATACTGTAAATCCTTGTTCTGACCTTATTAATAAATCAATCGTTGATATCATGTTAAATTAGCAGGTTTTTAATAGTGGTTTAGTTAAATAATGGAGTCTTTGTCTCCTCGGCCAGGCATCAGCTAGCTGCTCGGTTGTGACTCAGTTAAAGAGATGTTTAATCATTTTAATGTAATGTAAAAATATTCCCTTTTAGAAGACAATGGGGTCTGGCATGTGACAGGCAAGCCAGATTCCTCTGGTTTGGAGCTGCTAGGCTATCGCGTAGCTACGCTCCATTCCTGAAGGCCACAGTTTCATCCCTGCAGAGCCGGAAGAAGGTCTGCGATGCTCTCCATGTAATAATCCGGCACCATGCCCTGCCTCTCCGCGCAGCCGCTCTTCTGGTGGGCCTCGGCTTCCGCCACCGTGCTGACCCCTGTGAGGGTGAGGAGGGTCTTCAGGCCGCAGTTGGAGCCCAGCATGATGTCCGTGTCCAGGCGGTCGCCCACCATCAGACAGCGGGCGGGGTCCACGCCGAACTTGGAGGCCACGCAGTCGAACATGAAGTGGTTGGGTTTGCCCACTGTCTGGGCCTGCCGCTGGGCTGCTGTCTCCACGGCCTGCAGCAGGCAGCCGGTACCTGGTAGGGAGGGGGAGTGGAGGGCAAAAGGTGAGGAGACCTTTAACTTAATTTCCCTTCAGATACCAGCTATTTCACTTCCTGTGTTATCAGTAGGCCCGCTTTACTGGCCTAGAGCACTGGTGTTGTGCGAGCCGGCCCATTGGAAAGACTGTGACACACTAAATTGAATGGGACCGTAATTAACTTGATCAGTTACACCTGTGCTTACTGTGCCTGTGACCTGGCTGCTGTGAAAAGAGCCTTTTTAGACAGTTTCATTCCAGTAAGATAAAAATCCGAGATATTGTGGGGCTTGAACTTTATTACAACTTAATACAGCATGAGTTGGTGTTAACTTTGCCTTAAGATCCTAGCAGCTATCAGGGCAACAAGTTCAACTTCATGATGCAAGTTTTAAAACTAATTTGGCTTATGGTGCAGACTTTACTTGTTTTATTCACCTCAACTATGAAAGCTCCAAGCGTAAAATAAAAAAATCCTGAAAGCACAGTGTTTGAAGGGAAGGTAAGTCCTTGTTTGGTTTTACAATTAAAGTTATAATGATGTGTCAACTTTGAGAGCATTTTGGATGGGCGGAGCTTGTAGACAGGTGGGTGAAATAAACGTCTATGGGTATACCTGTGTCCTAGAAAAAAGGCTCTCCAGGAAGAAGCCTTGATAATTAGTGTGTAAGTTTCTGCATCTGACCAGTGTTTTACAGTTTTCAGCATGGTTTTCTAGAGTCTGTGCAGGTTTGAGTGAAGGATTTTCCTTTGTAATAAGCCTCAGCTTACTATTTAATGTATTTCGTGACCTGAAAAATCCAATAATGAGGCCTTGTATTTCACCAAACAATACTAATTTGAGTGGTGTAACCCAAAGTAGTGTAGACATCTCCACTAACTCCGGTCAGCCCCTTTAGTGTGTGTCTACAGTGAGCATCCCTACCTGGGACGGCCTTGCCCCCCTCCAGGGGCAGCCTGGTGTCCCTGTTGGTCCCCACAAACAGACAGCCCGGCTGGGTCAAGTACTGCATGGCTCTGTTCACTTTCATGTAGCTGAAGTGTTCATCGAAACCGACCACCACCGCCTTCACGTCGGCATCCAGGGGCACGTTCGCCCAGTCGTTCGGCTTCCCGGAGACGTGGTCCGGTCCCACGCCGGTCTGCCGGATCCCCACCGCCTCCAGTTCCTCTCTCATCGCGTCGCTTCCTATCAGGTACACTTTCCCCTCCAGCTCGCAGACGGTCTTCAGGTACATGGCGGAGCAGTACGCCGTCCCGAACACCTCCTCTTCGCTCGCTTTGAACCCCAACGTAGACATTTTGTCGACGTACATCTTCCTCGTCTTGGTGCTGTTGTTGGTGACGAAGAAGACCTTTTTCCCCTTTTCCTTGAGCAGGTTTATGACTTGAGGGGCTCCAGGGACGGCCTGGTCCCCCCGCCAGATGACCCCATCGCAGTCAAACAGGACGCTGTCCACCGAGTCCAGCACTTGTTTCACCAGCGCTCCGCTCAGCCGTGTACATTTAGACCCAGACATCAGTCTGTTAGTGCTGTCATAAAGTTAAGTACTACTGTATTTAGAGGAACAAGCTTTGCCGTTGTGACCGTTGGTTAAACAAGAGTAGTGTTGAAATTCACCGGAGGAAAACCTGACCTTCCACTGAGTGTTGCGTCAATTCTGCAGTTACTTCCGCACCGGCTTAAAGGGACAGGAGCAGCTATGGACGTGTTCATTATAGTTCTGTATTTAAACTATGTGAACTACACAGGTACAAGTCCAGTCCCACCAGGTCAGGCTTCTGTCACTAACTCCTGCTCACAACCTGTAGTTGTCTTTGCAAAAAACAATTTAAAAAATAACAAACTGTATGGGTATTCAAAACATCACAGCTACTACTAAAAGGCAAGCACGCTGTTCTTTTAAGTCCTCTTCTTAGCATCAAACTACACCTCCCATGAGGCTTTAGGGCAAGTGTTCGCCGCTCCTACTGCTGGCCTCATTTACCCCCTGACACGGAATTGTATTATTTATTTTAAATCCTTGCCTAATATTAAAATAATATACCTGTGTCCGATATAAATACAAAAACATACAACATTTTCGAAAGCTGAGTGCCAATGCCACGATCATGTATTAAAAACCCTACAGTGGCAGGACATAATGTTCCAGCTTTAGTTGATGGCCGGCAAAGTCAGAAAAATGTTTAATTTAAATAACAGACACCAACTTTATCTAACAAGGATTACTTTAGTGTTTGCTGCCAATGTGTTCACAGCTTTCCCAATATGTGACGCCTTATGGGAGATAAACACCAGAGCCCATAAGGAAATCGCTACCGCAAACTTTATTTCAACAGGCAACAGTAGTTCTTAGGGACAGCAAAGCCCGGGGGATGGACAGTAAATGCAGCATAACAACACAGACGGCTGTATCTTTTTTTTTTTTTTTCAGTTGTCTTTCTTCTGAACAGGCTGTGTGGGGATGAAAATCTCTTCCAGGTTTCGGAGTAGCCCTCTGCTGTAGTAGTATCTTTTCGAGTGGTCTGGCGCTGGGCTACAGAGGTGGTCTGCTGTTGCAGTTGGGTGGCAGTGCTGACACACGTAACCTCGACTTTTGTACCACTCGTTGGAGGTCTGGTTGACGAGAGCCAGGTAGGAATGGAAAAGGGCATAACCCGCCAGGAGGAAGAAGACAAAGACCAGAAATCCCAGCATGAAGACGATTCGGGGGAATGTCAGGAACAGATGCTGGAGGGACGGAGAGAAAAAGAAAAATAGTTTCAGGTTAATATGAGACATTAAATTGGGAATGAACATGGCTACGGCATATGAAACGCAGCGTGTCGGCAGTACTGAGTCTCACCTGTACAACAAACAGAGGCCCTGCTGGCTGCTGCTGGCTGTACTCGTCTACATAACTGGCCCTCAGAAGCCCTGACCGCAGTACGGCATGAAACAGCATGTCTCCTGTTAGGACGGCAATGTCGCCCGCCATGGCGCACACGCTGAAGAGGTAAAGCAGGAAGTAGCGTGTGTTCTGAGCCCCGATGCAGTTGTTCACCCAGACGCAGTGGTGGTCAAAACGCTGGACACACCTGTTGCAGACCCCTGAAATACAGACGGTGTTGACAGTGAGCGCTGAGTACGAGTCTGTGTTTAATACACAACATTTTCTATGGTACATATGTAATACTATGTAATATCTATGTACTCACTGCAGTGTTTGGAGCGAGCCGGTTTGATGAGCTGGCAGGTTTCACAAGAGACACCCGGGTGAAACAGCTTCCTGTCATAGGGGTAGATGCTCAGCTGGCCAGCGATCTTCTTCTTCGTCACTGTGCCTGTCAGAGGAGAGGGTTGAGGAAAAATGACTGCAGTGTAATAAAACAAAACACATAGTAGTACTTCAGACTTCATGTACACAAGGAGAGGTCTGGTGATTTGTATTATTTTGTCCACATGAACTTTGTCCAGTCCAGAACTAATTTATCAGTCATTTTCTCTGGCTATTTGTGTGAAAATCCAGCTGAAATGATCTACTTTTACATTCCCACATAGACTCACATGAGGCTTGTTTTACTGTACCATGGGGTGATGCTGTGAAGCTGTCTCTAGATTACCAGACTCCCCCAGAAAATAGTTTTACCCTCCAGGTGACAACATGAAATTACTGATGTAATTACCACCATCCCCAGTTATTACTCATAAGACTCCACAATATACCAGCAAAAAATAAATCTCAAACAAGATGTACAAGTGTTACATATCTCACACCTCAGCGTGTCAGGGTTCACCTCCCCTGCCTGTCTCATATAATATGTTCTAACAATAAGTATGTCTGAATATACTTCAGCTAAAACACAAACCTGGATCTCTCCTGATGCAGCGGTAGAAGAAGAAGGTCTTGATGGTCAGCAGGACGTAAGGCACGGACAGACTGGGCAGAGTGGTGTCCATCTCCCTGCAGAAGCCAAACACCTCATAGGTGAACTCTGCATACACAGCACCCTCCAGCAGGATATGCAGATAGATGAACATGTTGTTCCTGCAATTAGAAGCACACGAGAGAGACTGAAGGCAAAAATACAGTCGTATAATTGTTCGGCACTGGAATTAAAAATACAATATTAGACCATATAAACACATATTATGACAATGTCAGGAATGTGTACTTCTGGGAAAACTTAAACTGCAAACCTTTGATGAAACAACCTGTGCAAGGTCCACTGTGAAAACTTTTGGAGCCATTTTGGCGTAAACGGTGCAACTACCTGTGATGACAATTGTCAGCAGCTTTAAATGCAGCGGACATGTTTTCTTTGTATTGTGATAAAGTAGTCAAACAGCGCCACACAGTGTCGGCTTGTGGAAGTACAGTTAAAATACTTAAATTCTTACCTTTCCTACTGAGCTGAAGAGGATACTGAACGGGGTTTGCTGCTGACCGGAGTATTTGCAAACTAGGACTATACATGTCAGCACCACTGCAACGTAGACAGCGAACAGAGTGAGGAAATCCATCTCTCACCTGGCGGCTTCTGAAAACAACAACAACAGGTGTTTTCTGGTACAAAGTCACCACGTACAGGTAGCGAACTCAACAAGAAGCTACAGTTGTGTTACTATTAAGTTTCTATGGTTGTTCAAACACGACGACGAAGACTTTTAAAATAAATAATGCAGGGTGCGTCTTCTAAATCTAAATCTCAGGTGAACACGTTAGCATGCTAACGTAATTTAAGTCAGTTCGCTAGCAAACCTGCATATCTATTCCCGCTTTCTTTACACCATAAAGACATCTAGCTACTCGTTTGTTTCCCCCCTTACCTCCTAGTAAAGGTCACACATAGCTGCCTTTCAGTGTTTTATCTCACGTCAACATAGCTGTTATTGCTAGCGCTGTGGCCACCAGCACCACTTTCGGTGCTGCTCTGTAAACTACTACTACTTCCTTAGCATCGATGTAGCTACATTCCAAGCTAACAGCTGAGAGGTTGTTCTAATTGCCGAGGCTGACACTGTTGCAGGGAGGGGGGTGAAATGATCTGTCAGTATCTAGCTGCATGTCTATAGAAATGTGAAGTTTGTCCAGTTGTTTCCATTTAACATAATGCTAATACAATATTTTTAAAACTTATAAATAAGTTGTCATAATGTAATGTTTTCACTCATTTGAGTGTCTTGAAAGCCTTTCTCCTGATGAAGACCCTTTATTTTTCCACACTTATCAACTATAACCATCACATATTCACCGTCGCAGCCAAACGTGTTCAGTCACCTATGTGTTCATCAGAAATGTGTGTTTTCTGAATGAAGAGATTTGATGCACTTGGATGTAGGAGGTCAGTTTATTACCTGCAAAGATCACATTATTTACTCCAAGTCAGAATTAAAATCAAACCACTTATCAAGACTGCACAGCTTTTAACGTTTTTGCAGCTGTTACTTAGTATTGTTTTCTCTCTGTCGCTGCCATCCAGTGCTCCACACACAATGCATCGAGGCATCACAAGACACCTGTTGGATCTGGTTGCCGACACGGCCCAACGCTCATATTACAGCTCGCAGTCCTGGAGAGGGGAGCGTTACTCTGGAGCTCTGCATGGGCATTTATGGATGCTGTTTAAACAGGTACATGATGTGTGGATGTGCTGTGCTGTGTGTGTGTGTGTTGATCATTTGACATGTTTCTTATGTTAGATATGTTGTCGGTCACAAGGCATAGAGTGTATTTGCTGTTACAGTTTGAGGTTAAGAAGTGTTTCTCAATACTTTTCATCCTAATAATGTTACAGTTTTGCATTTTATAAAGATACATTATTTCCGGTCCCTTGTTTTTTAAGTCAAAAACATATCTAAAGAATAATTGATGCTCAAATGTAGAAATGATTTCTCTGAGGAATAATTTATTACAGTTTTGCTCACTGAGTGAAAAGGCTGAGACCGTTTTAACAGACTCGGTTGCCTGTGAAATGTCAGCTTTCTGTCTCTCACCTTGTCACACATGAGTGACTGTCTTTGCTGTAGCGTAAGAAGGGAGTTTGATTGGAGTTAGCAGTGTCTGTGTGGAGAAACAGCCCTTTGTGGTTAATTATTTAGTTGGTACTGGACTGCCTGTTCCTTATTGATTTATGACAGTTTGGTCCAATAACCTGCAGGCATCCTCAGTACTTTCTCTTCAGCTTCAGTTTAATTTAATTTGATTTAATCACTGATATTCAAGGGTGGAAGTAACTAGGTACATTTACTCTTGTTATTGTAATTGAGTCGTTTTTGTGTATTTGTACTATTAGGTCAGCACTAATTGTCAATTTAAAACAATGTCGTGGGAACTCCATACTCGCAGCTTTATACGGTTTAAGTGAGGTTTATTTGAGCTGAGGTTTACATCACATTCAGCGCAATTCATGACCTAATAAGAGTGATAAAGGTGGAAGCTTCTCCCACACCAACAAGTGCAAAAAAACAACAATAAAAAACTACCACAAGGAGTCACGTGACTAAGCCGGAATAAGTAAAAAAAAAAACAGCTGTATGGGTATAAAATGGATGGGTAGGGACTTTAAACAAGTCCAATATTTACTCTCCTAGCTCTGTTATGGTCTCGAGCTGCTAAATGTTTTACTATGGTCACCAGCTTGTCACTCATTTTGCCGTTTGTTGTTAATGTTGTAAAACCAAAAGAGTGAGCTCAAAGACGCTAAAATGAAAGGCGCTAAATTCCCCATAAAGCTGAAGTAAACAGGTGAAATTCACTGTGCTGTTGTTACACATAGTCATTTGACTCTTTTCTATTATGGATCAAAATATTGATACGTGCAGCTTCAAATAAAATATCAGTAAGGTTAAAGCCTTCTGCTTCAATCAATACGTAAAGCGTGTGTTTTCACAGCTTTTACCTAAACTCAGCCTCTGATACAGACTGCATCTTCACCCTCTGTGTGTGTTCTTTCTCACATTCTGACTCATCGCACATGTCATATGCACAATTCCTGTATGGTTCCACTGATAATCAGTGTATGTATTCATTACGGGAGGGGAGCATGTGTTCCTTCAGTATTAATGACGGGGGGGGGGGGGGGGGGGGGGAGGAGCGCTGAAGATTCAGCTCATAATCCTACTAATTCTACAGGCTAAAGTCTTCAATTGCCCCCCACTGCTTCTCACATCACACATGGACACACAGAATTCCAGGCATGCAGACGCTCCAATTAGTACCCATCAGGCTCCGTTGCATCGACGCAGAGCGATTCTGGGCCAGTAGCGGTCCCTCGGAGAGCCACCTAGCCAAGAGGGGAGGAGGAGGAAAAAGACACACTGGTGTATTTATAGAAAAATGAGGCCTCACAATAGCCTTTTTGGAGAGAGAATTATGAAGGAACAGAGGTGCCCCGGTGCACGCGTCCCAGTTTTCTGATTAACACTGTGCAAGCAGGCTGGCCCAAGGATGAATCGGGGATGAGACGCAGGACTAACTCCTTGACACACTCGCAGAGAGACTGCGCTCGCTTCTCATGCACACTCACCCTTTTTCGCTCGTGAGGACACTGCTGCGGTTTCAGGGTTGGACGAATGGGGCAATGTTTTGAGTTTGCCTCCCTTCCCGTTTGACTTTGGGTTGGTCCTTGTTTTTGGAGAAGACAGATTGGATATCGGGGCTGCTAGCAGGCCGACCTGCTATTTGACATTCAAGATGAAGAAGTTTTTGCAAAACAAAAAAGGCAGATACTCTTTCCGTCGGGGCTCTCGGTATCCATCTAAAGATTTCCGTAAGTCTGATCAGCTTTGTCCAGTGAGTGAATGCCGCTGCGCTGCGGCTTTGGAGGCCGTGGAGCACATCATTAGCTCCCAGCGGAGCCAGAGGGTTTATACTTTAGTATATTTAGCAGAAGCCAACAGGTCCATTTTTGTAATTCTGTATTTATAGCACAATCTGTCACTTGTGGAAAATTTCATTCTCATTTTAGTATTTCACTCCAAAGTCTGGCCAATATGTGCTTCTATATTTGCGAATTTACCTCATACGGTTGTTATTTAATGCCACTTTGTGTCTCTTACCTGCTTAGAAATGAGCACCATTGCCAGTGGTGTGCTCTCTGTTGCATAATTACCATTCAACAGGATAGACTTGCATGTGCACTGAGTAAAAAAAAAAAAAAGAATTAGCTGAAGGAACTTTTGTCTCTCAAGTTAATTAAGGTCACAATCTCTGCGACGCCTTAATTTGATTGGCTGCTTTTGCGTTTGTGAACCAGGTCAGGGACCACTGAGTGTGTCACGGTTCAGGGTAGAGGGTTACACAGCCGCACTCGATAGTACAACTTGAGACACTGGAGATAGCAGGCGGGAGAAGAGACGAAGGAATTGGAGCTCTTTCGAAACCTGCGGAGGATTATTTGATCCAAAGGTGTTTTCGCAATGTCGATAGACTTGAATATATTGGACACAGTGGGTAAGTGCGTGTGTTTGAAATGAGTATTTCTTCATTTATCAGAATGCCCGTCTCATAATCTCACAGACGTTTGGCTGCAGCGAAGCTCCGCAGTGGAGGACTCTGTGAAGTCCTCGGATTATGAGTGGTTACTTGTCTCCCATCCTCAAATCTTTTCTTTCTCCCACCTCACCTATTGTGTCCCCTCCTCTCGTCCCTTAAGTCCTCAGCATGCCGTCGTCCAACCAGGGCTGGCCTGAGGAGTTCGGCTTCCAGCTGGGCGGCAATGGACCCAGTTACATCGTGTCTGTGGAGGAGGGCAGCAGTGCCCACCTGGCGGGGCTGCAGGCGGGGGACCAGGTCCTGGAGATCGAGGGCCACAATGTGTCGACGCTGGGTCCCCAGTCGCTTGTCGCCATCGCCCAGACTCAGAAGAACATCCCCCCCAGTATCGGAGTGGTGTCCCGCATACAGCAGGTCTTACTTACAGCTTTTGAATCCATCACAGCAATAAAGCATAATGTGGGTTGAGGTACTTCCTGCCTGATCCGGAGCCTTTTGGGGGTTATGTTTTCAATTTGAATAAAAACTGCTATATCTATCCTGCATTACAGATGGACATCATACCAGGTCCGGATGGTCGTTTTGGGTTCACCATCGTGGGAGACTGCCCCCTGCTGGTGGAGGACTGCTCGCCTTGCTCTCCAGCCGGCCGCGCAGGCCTGAGGGCCGGCGATTACGTCATGGAGGTCAACGGGATCCCCGTCCGGCAGCACGAGACGGCCGCGGCGCTGATCAAGGCCTCCCAGGGGAGGACGCTCCGCCTGGGGGTGCTGTGTCTCGGTCCGAGGCAGAAACACAGCATCAGCATCGATGACAGTCAGATGGGAGGAGAGGGAGCGAGACTGGACCGTAAACATAAAGCTCTGGAGTTCAATAGGAGGGTACGTCTGAATACACAGCGACAGCTAAGTCTGGTCCAGTTTTATGTATTTACAAATATGTAATAGACTAAGACCACAACAAACTCATGTAATGTAGCCTGAGTAAGGCCAAACTCTTTTTTGAATGGCAGATGAAGTGTCATTACGGTAACAATCTGGCACAGTGTAAAGCTATGAGGTGGCAGCATCTACCCCATTTTTCCTTTCACCGACTTGTCCTCCAGCCTCTAACATCATCGTCCTTTTCGCCGTCAGGTTGACCAGATTTTAGGTGACGAACCTGAAGTGAAAGAGAAACTCTTCACCGCGCTGAAGCATTACGCGGCCGAGAAGAGAGTTGAGTGGTTGGCCTCGGTCCTGCCCGACATACTTGCCACCGATGAGCATCGGCAGCTCATCTCCAGCATCAGGTAAGAGCCGGGCACTTCGGCTCCGGTTACAATGGATTGCAAAACACAGGATAGAATAAACTGCTGGTAGGAAGTGGAGGAAAGATTTGTGAGAATGCAGTGGAGAGCATGCTTTTTGTTTCCTCTTTAATCCACCTTTGAAACCATGTGAACAGTGGCAAACCATTGACCATAAAAAGGCAGCAGCCTGAGACACATTTAATATTGCTAGAGGACACTTCTTGCATGTGTTCACCCGTCTCTCTGCATGTTTCCTGTCATTCTGTTCTGCAAAACTGTCCATTAAAGCCAAAAAGGACAGTTTGTGCTTCTGCAAAGCTTCCAGTGTTGTTCAATTACTACTCCCATTTTTGGTATGGTATCCCACACACTTGTCATTTTCAAGTCCCAATTAAAAAAGTAAAATACTCTGCAGGGATTTGAGTCATAATGAGCACGTAAACATTTCCTGTTGCTCATTCTGCGGGATGGATTAGAGGGGGTCTCGACCGCTGCCAGCCGAGCTACGCTTTAGGTTTAGGTGCCATCTGCCACCCGGGGTAAATCCACAGTGACCCCTCCAAGTCGCTTAAAGTGCCATCGGTGTTAGTGAAACCGAGAGGCTAAACTCACATGTAGCTAAGAGATTTTTTTAGCTGTAACTGAGGATTGGCAACTCGAGCCATATTCACAGCATGGCGGTGACTGATGATGAGCCACAGACAGATTTAGTTGAGTACTCGCTTTTTGTGAAAACATCATTTATTACCAGTGGCCATGCCAAACTGGAGCTACACCCAACAGGTTTATTTTTTTGAAGGTGTGTGTTTCCATGAGTCGGCCTAACGCCAGATATCTAAACAAGGAAACAGCACTCAGGTAGCCAGAGTTATGTGGTTGTCTAAGCGCCAAAATGACCAGCACTGCCGCCTTTCTCTGAATCCCCAGACAGTTTGTCCACAGATTGCACTTCCTCCACAAGCAGAGCCAATCAGACCTTTTGTTCTCTTACTACGCTGGCTCCCCTCCACTACTACACCACTCTCAACTCTTATTTTTAGTGGTATTTATATTCCGTAAGAAGGGTTTCCAGCAGTACGAGGTCAGTGCTGAGCTACTTTCGTTACCTGAGATGATGTTAGGCGTCTGGATTTTTCTCCCTTAAATTGGTTAATGAATAATTCACAACATTGAGAACTCCTCATTGGTATTTTTTCAATAAAGGACACTCCTATTTGCACGAGCACCAATAATAATATTTATGTCATGTCTTTGTGGTTTTTCCATCCCCCATCCATCTCACAACTCTCTTACCTCCTCTCTCTCTCCCTTTCTCTAGGGGAGGGGGGGTTATGTGTTTTTATCTGATGGATTTCCTTCTCATTATTCTGCTCAGAGCTCGGGCTGTCTCTCTCTCTCTCTCTCTCTCTCTCTCTCTCTCTCTCTCTCTCTCGCTCTCTCTCTGTGGTGACCGTTTTCCCCTAACACTTGGTAAAGACTCCCGCTTGCACCAAAGTCCCACCGTATCTCTTATCCCCCTCAGAGAGGCAGCACTGAAGCCTTAGGTGCGTCTGCCATTTTGCTCACTATTAGATGGTGCAACTTAGTTTGTAGTTGAGCTATGGGTGACAGCTAAAGCGATGAATTGCCTGGGGTGAGTATACCTTTTCCCCATCTTTTTCCAATGGAATTGTTTTTGCCAATCAGTGTAATTACGTATGTGAAGTGGGGGAGGTGAGTGAATGTTTAATGCAGTCGGATACAGAACATGTCAGTGGCTGCTGTTGGTGTTTCGATATCTGATGTTTTCGGCTACGTACTCCTCCATTCCCTTCTGGCTTTCTAAGCTTTCTTCAAGGCGATTTCCAGCTTTAAATCTATCATTTATGAAGTCGAGCGCGCCGTCAACAGGGTGTTCTCCTAGTTCGATGTGACGGGACCACATTTGGACGGAGACAGCTAGTTGTAACACAGTCGGCACTACAAAGGCATTTTTATTGTGTTTGCCTCTTATGTGAGTGAAGTCATTAGGTTGAGTGATGCTCTGCTTTTGGGATGTAATCTCTCTCCACGTGTTTGCTTTCAAACTGAATGTTGATTTAACAGATTACATTAATATTCCTCTAAAAAAAACGACATCTGCTTGTATTATACTGAGTATGTGTGTGTCTTCCCTGAATATTGCAGGCATGTTTTAGCTTTTGTGTATCGCATGATGTCTGGTGCAGGTGTACCTCTTTAGCTGTGGAGAAATCAACCAACATCTTTCATTACTGCAGTGATAGTTGAGCCCTATAACATAATAGCAGTGATTAAAGGATGATGATGATGATGGATGAGCATGATCAACACATCTGCATTTATCTGCTCCTCTTGACGCACGAAGCTTTTCTCCTTCAGTGGTGTTTAATGATGGTGTTTAATCTGAACTGCAGGAGTCAGCAGAGCTTGTTTGCAACTCGTAAGTTGGAGTGGAACAAGTCGTCTTTTTATAGCTGTTCGCAGATTTTTGGCGCCGCTTAATGGGACCAGCTTGTTCAGTCTGAAGGAAGAACGAAAAAAACCAGATTGCTTTTTAGCGGAACAGCAGCTCAAGGGATGCCAAGGCCGGTCATATTGGTGCATTACGGCGGCACAGACCAGCGGTTCTTAAATTTCTTTCACTCCGCCCCAAAACATATCTGGTAAAAAAATGTGTTTGTTGTGACAGTTTACAGCAGTTGATGATTTCTCTGATAATTAAAATTTAATTTAAACTAACATTTTTTATTGAACCATTGTAGGATAATTATTTTAGGAATCACATAACCCTTGCAGTACTCCAAAGTACACCTAGGGGGTAATAGTTTGAGAAACACTGGTCCAGACTGATCTATCGTGAATGGATTGTCATTACATGTTGTACAGCCATGGCATCATGGCTATGGTGTCATTGTACTGACTTTGGTTCAGTCTTGGTTGACAGTCCCAGTCCATTCAGTGGATCTGATGTGGCTGACGTTTCTTTCTACAAGCACAATCTTTAATCATTTACTTTTGACAAGTTCCTGGGAACAGACCAGGCACCCAGTGATGCTCACAACGATAATCATATAATTATCTTTTAATTCCACTGGCTTGATCCTTAAACACACGACCCGCCGCCGTGCCTGTTTGTCAGCGCCAAGAGGAGCAGGACAAACAGATCATGCTCTTTTCAAAACGTTCTCCATTATTTTCTGAGCACACGCGAGGTTACTCCTCCTTATGTGTGTTAAGACACGCCACCGGTCTCACCTTTTTTAGCCTCGCTCGCGCATCAGCCACATCCGGACACTTGAAATTAAATGAGGTCTCCTCTTTGTAGTTATTGTCTACTCGTCATTCTTCCCTTTTGAGAAATCCGTTCCCTTCCTCCCTGCTTGCTTCCTCCTCCACAACCCCTTCCTTCAGATAATTATAGATCTCTGTTCTTCATAAATGAGGTCAAAATCAGAGCGCTCATTTTGTTGCCAAGAGTTGACGCGGAAAACTTTTTGTGATGAGGTGGCTGTTTCAATGGACGGTTTGCGCATTTTATAGAAGCATAAGGCTGATAGCAGCCACACACACACACACACACACACACACAGACACAGACGGGTGACCCACTGCATCTGTGTGAGCGACAGAGACATATTATTACCGGGACATGAATAGATGACAAATAGCAGGGAAGCGAAGGTAGCAAACAGAGAGAGGGACTGTGTGGGTTGCTACACCTACATTACACTACGGAACATTTATTTATACCTCAGGAGTCTGCTGTTTGTAGCCTGTAGTCTGCGCTCAGGCAACACTGTCTCAGGCTGCAGTCAGACACATGAACGCCTCAAACCTCATCAGAATGAGGATGATGAAACAGCGACAGCAGGCTAAGAATGTGTGGCCTATGTCTTTAACTGAGGAGATTTGTTCAAAAGATTAGACAACCACCATTTCTTATAAGTGTCAAAATCAAAACAATACGGTGTATGCTTGTTAAAGGCATGATGAGTATAGATTTACCGTTTACGGTTTGTAAACCGAACCTTTCAATTGAGTCTTCTCCACGGCGAAACATGGAATATTAATTGAAGGGAGGACACTTTTGGAACTGCAAGTGTGCATATTTCCAACAAAAGGGAGAAAAGCAGCCAACGGTTGTCAACTCATGATAACATCAATGATTGATTTAAAAAGGCCTGTCAGACTAGTTATTAATCAGTGGGTGTTTTTTTTTTAAACTCCTTTGGCTAGATTGTTGCCGTGAAAAGATAATAATGTTAACCCCATATTGCACTCCACTAATTCAAGCAGCAGGTGAGGTTAACTTCTGCTGCATTGCTGGTTTGTGTTGTTGTGGTGCTGAATGGAGAGCTCCTGTAGAGAGGGGAGCCGCATCCATTGTTACCACAGTGCATTTTGGGATACCACCACTGGAGGGCCCAAAGTCAGAAATGTCTATTATTCTCTATTCCTTTGAGATAAAGAGTATTTCCTTGCCCAATAGATTTGTAATGTAGCATTTTTGCCAGGTACTGTATCTCCTGTGTCTGTGTACCTTCAGCATATAATACAAGTGGAAGTGCTTGAGCTCAGCTGCAGCGTCCCGCATCAGCTTTTATCCCAGACCAGCAGCTAGAGTTGGCTTCAGTTTGTATGGACCACAGTCCATCATCTATGGTATCTATGAATATTTTGTACCTTTTGGCTACATCTACTCACATTTCATAAAGAGATTAGTTTGATAAAAAAAGGAAACTGTCATTCAAAGTCAAAACTTAGTGATGTCAATAAATACAGGAAATCACAAGTTCCACATGTAAGTGAGACTTAGAAATACCATTGCATGAAATTCTGGATAACGAAGTGAACAGTGGCCGGGCCTCGTGTTTGCTGTGAAGTTTTCCTCTCTCCGTCTCCATCTCTCTGTGCTATAAGTGTGTCCTAATTGCTTTATTTAGCTGTCGAAATTGTTTTTCTGCAGCTTAATTAGCGTCTCGAGGACATGTACAGCGGGAGCAGTTGTCTCTATCAGCGCGTTTGTTGCTAATTACTCCACTGGTGCTGCTCTTCACAGGCCGCGCTGCTTATGGGCTGATTCATCTGATCAGCGGTGAATAAGGCTAGAAAACAACAGACTGGTGTAGGCGGGAATCAAAACAGTTTGTGAAAATCTGTGTTGGGGCTCCGCTCTCAATGCCACCGTGATTCAACGAAGATGGAATCAAACAATTAACTTCTGACTCGCTCCGTGTACCAGCTGGGATTTTGGCTGTCTTTAATTTACATTTAACCAGTGTTTCAAGACTTTCTCCTTCTGGTATTACGATTTTATATTTTTGAGATCATTATTTGAGAGATCAGTTAAGATCTGGGTATTGTTTGAATATTTCAATATTTGTGCGTGTATGATACTTGTGTTTTTGTATCACCACCAAGACAATATTTGTTTCCAATACCGTCCTCTGAAGAAAGCTAAACTTCTCAAAAGTTTCCACTTTTTTGTTTAACAATAGAAGACACAGTTCCACTGTTAAATCCTGTCTAAACACAGCAGCCATGTGTGACCTTTACTGGAATAAAACAGTCTGCAGACAGCAAATCTGACGTTTGAAACGCTGCGTTACGGTCACATTCTGGTCGGTACACCAAGGCCAGTAAACAAAATAAAACGTGCATTTCGTGGCGCCATAAGCTCGCAAAATGTCAAAGAGGGGGCTAAGTGTGGACTGTACGAGCTGCTTCATGTTGAGGGCTGGCTGTCTCCCAAACAACCGTGTCGACTATCAGAACAAAACAAAATGAGTCGTCCCACGCACACGACGACAACAGACAACATTTCATTCAAGTGATCAGGACTGCTACTAAGAGACAAGGCAACCGCCCACACATGCATGCACACAGTTTTAGACCTGTGAGGATGTTCACACTCTCCCCCTCCGACAGTCCTCTTAATTTGTTCTTAGGCATATCTAACCTTAAAGGAAAGGTTCAGCCGTCTTTGAGGTGGGCGTGCATAGTGTTGCAACTAACTGCGTTTCCTCTGAGTAATTAGTTTTGCAGTCAGCGGCCTTAATAGACGATATTGCGACGTAGATATGATTCTTGAGTAAAGGATTAAAGGCATTCTGGGAATCACCAGCTGAAAACCGACACAGTGAATTACAACATCTGTGATTCAATCACGATCACAGACGGATGATAGACAGTGAATGAGAAGGCAAGCTGCTATTTCCCTTTAACCTCATCTTCCGTCATATCGTTCACTTTTATGTAAACGTTTGACATTTTCAGAAATGTATATATATGCCTGTACTGTATATATGCCGCTACCTTTCAGCAGCTGCTTAGCTTAGCATAAAACAGATAGATAGCTAGGGTGTAATGAAATACTTGCAAAAAAGTTGCATTATGGGAACTGTAGGATCCAGCATTGTTGGAGATTGACCCATACTATAGACTAAAAAGTCAACATATCTCCGTCTCTGCTGTGCCGATTTTGACATTCGTTTTCAAATTTCTCTCCCTCTCGCAAGTCCCCCAACGTTATAGAAGTGTAATACTAAGATCTCTGGGCTACCCCTTTAAGAGAATATAAGATAAAGGAGCTTCTAGTGTGGTGTTTGATGTTCGTTCCCCTTGTTGTTGTTGGTGTTTAGTGAAAATGACATTAGCTGATCTTTTTTTATCATGAGATGAAGCTGTTTGTAAAATACTGGACTCTTAATTTGAATGAGAATGATTAATTGAGTTAAAACCTATCTACCTACATCGTGCTGCTTTTGATTAGGTTAATTATACCTCATATTTCCAAAAAAACACCCAAGTAAACATTGAGTGTCTTCGTCGAAATGGCGAGGTTTTGGTTCATTAAGATGATGATGACAGCTTCCTGCTCCCTGCTCACACTGACTGAGTGACAGAGAGGTGAAGTGTGGACGGAAGTGAGAGAGTGAGGATGACATAGACGGAGAGAGAGATAGCAGAGTAGAAATCCCGTGCTCGCTCACTCCCACACCTTTTCCTCTTGCCGTATTCTGGCTCTGGTGCCACACGCTGCTGCAGTGAGACTCCAGCAAGCAGCAAGTGACGCCAAGATTTTCCTCTCGGTCTCTCTCCTCTTTTCTCTTTTCTCTCTGGCTGAACAGGAGTTCAACTTCTCTCCTTTTCTTGTCTCCGGGGACGGCAGACCCCTCAGCTGTCCAACAAAAGCTTTTTTTCTTTTGAGTGTTGAAGGAGGGAGCCTGTTGATCTGAATTAGTCTGGACTTGGATTGTGACGATCCAGCTGATCATCACTTTTTAATCTCTGCTCGTGCTGGATGTTTGACTTGCTGCTGTTATTTCTCTGGCAATCCAGGGTTTTGGGTTCCGGACTCTATGTTTTTTTAAAAATGGATCGAGGTGGATCCGTGATGTAGATCCGTCCTCTTTCCAACTCTCTTTTTTTCCTCCCGTGGACAAAAACTAACATCACCCCCTCTGTTTCCCCCTCACATGCCACCATGTTCGCCAGAATCTTCATTCCCAAGAAGCACCGGCAGCGCTTTGACGAGGCCGTGTCCCAGAACGTGATCAACCGACTCTGCCGCAGCAAGAGCATCAGTGAGCCGCAGGGCAGGATCCGGCGCAGTCGGAGCGAGGATCACTCCGACCGCCGCCACGGGTCCAAGCGGGCCAGCTCGGTGCCCAGAGATGGAGAACCCGGGGGGAGGGGGGAGGCGGAGAGAGACAGGGGCTTTAGAAAGTCTGTCTCCGGGATACCCGCACATCCCCCCATCGGACCCAATCAGAGGTGAGCACACATGTTGGAGATGTTGTTTGTACTGAGTCTTTGGCTCTGTTTTAAGTGCTGTTTACTGTTGGAAACCAGGCCACCAACAGTTTCATCTCCACGCATAATGCAGCAGCCACATACTTACTACTTTAATATTCAGACATTTACCGGCAGGATGTTTTACAAATGTATATGACACAGAGGACAGTGTGTCTCTTTTTACATCCTTGCTGTTTTCCTGTCATCGCCACATTCTTCCATCCTAAAGCTTGTGTTTTCCTGTGAGTCCCGTCACAACGCTGAACTTAAAAATAACCCCAAATCTCTGTTATAAATAGATGTTCACACCAGTAAAACCCCAAAATAAGTTGTTGTTTCAATCCAGCCAAACTGAAACTGCCATTTGCTTGTTTGTGTCCCATCAATTCAACACGTTGATCCCGCACCGTTTCAGAGCCCCCGACCGCTCAACCTCCGCCCACCAACATGCTGATCACACGATTGTCCAATTAATAACACCACAGTGGACTTCGTGCAGGATTACAGGGAGGGGGGAGCAGTGCACTCCCACACAAACTAACCGACTAACTCCCGGGATCCGTCTCCATCCACATGGGAGGGAAGATGTGCAGCTGAATATCTCTGAAGTGTTATCATATTAGCAGGTCACACAACAGTAGGAGGCACGCTGATTGTGTTACATGGGAGAGGTTACATCATGTGGCATAAGTGGCACAGTCACAATTAGAAGTTGTGCTGCATGCTGGTGCCTTCCCAGAACAGAATCATACCACTCGAGAGTGTTGTGCAACACTGTTGTCTCTCCCCAGTAAAAAACTAGATAGAGAGATAGATGGATGGATGGATGGATGGATAGATAATACATGGATCATAACATTTAGGCCTACTAATTTTCATCAATCGAAATATAAGTTTTTTTATGAATCCACCCCAAGATGTGTTTAAAGGGTTGTTTTAGTATATTTTACATGACATTTACTATAGTGCCTTAACATTGTTATTGATACTGAAAATCAATCACTACACATTGGCAATTGTCTATTTAGGCCATTTTTTGGAGCTGCTGCGCAACGATTAGTTGATGTCTCATTAACTTTCATTCAGTCTTATGAGTATAAAGTACAGCTGGTGTTGACTGATGGCAATCAGGAGAGGCCTTTAGAAGTCTCTCAGTTTGTCAAGTGTGCCTCTTTTTGTGGCTGCACTGCCCAAACACCCTCCTCTCTCAGACACACACACACACACACACACACACACACACGCACACAGTGCGTACATCTGCATTTAGCTCGTCTTACATAACAGCCAGTAACCGCGGCTATCAAAGAACAGATCTGCCTGTTTTTCTCTCCCCTCCCGTCATCCTTTTTTTTTTTTTGTCTTCCCCCTGTTTACGTATTAAGGCACTGTTGCCTTGAGTCGTTTCCAAGGCAACGCACTGGTGGATAGGCACCATAAGTGTCTCATCTTTGATGTAACGGGAGGTTCCACCGGTTGTTCCTCCACTGGGGTGACCGAGAGCAAAGCACCACCATCAGCAAAATGTCAGAGCTTTTTTTCCATGTCCAGAATGTCCTGAATTATTTTTGTTTGGCCGGAAGCTGATAGGAGTCGAGGCTGCACAAGTTGGGATTGTTCTGTACTAACAAAAGCCTGAAGTACGATTAGGCTTAAATACGAGCGTCATGCCCCCCGCGTCAGACTCAGACAAACAGGAAGCACAAACAGCCTTGTAAACAGCAGTGAGTGAGTCCTCCATCACCCAGAGACATCTGGGCTCTCCCTCCATCCACAGAGAGGTTGTTAAGCATCAGCGTAGTTCAGCGATTAATGCTGAAACCTGAAATTACAACAGTTGGAGTTACTGATAATTCGTTTAATCCATCAAATGCAGAGCAGTCTCTGGCTCCAGTGTCTCACATGTGAGGCTTTGTCACCTCTCTCTGTTTTCTATTATTCTAAACTGAATATTTTTGGGTTTTTGGACTATTGGTTGGACAAATCAAGTAATTTGAAGACATTTTTATTGGCATTTTTCACTCTTTCTGACATTTTATTGACAAAATGATTCAAATGAAAAAAGAAAACTTCATGACATTGTAAAAAAAATAATTTTTTATAATGAGCTTGTATTATGTCGTTGATATAATAAGTCAAGAATTATTTTCATGGCGCTGTCTGCAAATCTTCTGTTAATCGTTCTCACGTCCTGCCGCTCCTCAGGGTCATCCGTGTCTACCGGGGGAAGAAGAACTTCGGCTTCACGCTCCGAGGTCACGCCCCCGTCTGCATCGACGCCGTTATCTCAGGTACTTCTTCTCTCTTAAAACCCTGATAGACGCCTCCTCTCTCTGTGTGTGGTGGTTTGGCCCCAAACATTGTTCTGTGTTGGCTGGCGAAGGAGGGAGGGAGAGGGGGGGGAGTGTTTTATGTGGGTGAGCCTGTTGTGGTGCCAGCCGCTGGGGGTTGAAGGTGGTTCAGGAGGTGTTTGTGTGTGTGTGTGGTTGTGTGTGTGTGTGATTATGACTGTACCGGGAAGCGTTTTAGTCTGACTCACCAATGAAACGTTAAGAGTAAAGCACTTGAAACAGGCTGTTCTGTACAGTAACAGACACTTACAGCGGTCAGTCAGTGCTACGCGTGTTTATTTTTTATGTTCAATACAAACTGTACTAATTGTCACAATCTATTATTATTTTTGCAGAATTTGCCAATACAAATTCAAACTCCTTACAAATGACATATGAAATAAATCAGATGTTATATAAACATCACCGTCATCATTTTATCATACTTATCAAATATTGTTATCCCGCACTTCGCGCACGCTTCATCACAATGTTGTATAAATTATAAACTTGTGATTTTTCTTCACAGTATCTCAGAAAAGCTTCTTAGTTTTCAGACAGACTATCTTTTATTTCTTGCGTTCATCCAATGGACGTGCTCTGTAAACCTACAAACAACCAAGATATGAGCAGATAAATGGACACTTTGGGAAATACGCTTGTTCGCTTGCCTGCCGGAGAGTTAAATGAGAAGATCGACACCACTCTCATGTTTGTCTGGTAAATGTGACGCTACAGCCAGCAGCTGGTTAGCTTAGCATAAAGACTGGAAACAGAGGGAATACAGGTAACCTGGCTCTGTCCAACGATAACAATATAACCCTACCAACACTTCCAAAACTAACTAATTATCTCGTTAATCAGTATTTTTTTAACTACTCGTGTTTATTTTTTGTTACCTTTGGATAGAGCCAGGCTCGTTGTTTCCAGACAGATTTAAGAATGTTATCAATCTTCTCATCTAACTCTAGTTAAGGATGCAATAACATTTCAAATGTCCTACTATTCATTTGAGGTTATTAAATTGTTGTATGATCTAACTATAGATCATTTTTATAGCATCTGTTGTTGATTTAAACATCTTTTCGATATAGATTTGCATCAGAACATGACTTCAGGTTTATTGTTTTTAATCAGTAGGGCCTGCAGATGTGCTATTTCCACTGCTTAATTAGTTTTTGGATAAAACACCAGAGATTATTGCTAGAAAATTTAACTCACTGTTAAACATTTGTCGGCGTAAAAGCTTTTGGTTAGCATCTTAATTACTTCCATTTTTTATTTTTATTTCCAGCAGTAAAGGGTTATTTAATGAACTGTTAATGCTTTCCCAAACAAAAGTAGCAGACAAGAGAGGCTGCGAAGTTACTGTTGAGGGAATTTGCCAGGTTCCTTGGTGATGAGGGAGGTGTGTGTGTGTGTGTGTGTGTGTGTGTGTGTGTGTGTGTGTGTGTGTGTGTGTGTGTGTGTGTGTTTGATGATGACTGCACTGTTCCCGCCCACCACCATCTCCCACCATCATGTGCTGCAGCGGCCAGAGAGAACTGACTCAGTGGGCCTTATGGAGGTTGGTATGGAGACAGTGGGGGTGGATAGCATGTCTCTCGTCGTGATCTGAACACCGTTACTGAGGGTAAACAACTCAAAACTCCAGGATTGCCAGTCTCGTGGCCCTCGAATGTGCACACACGACATTATCACGTGAAGACTTTGTTGCGTCCAAACTTTGGGTCAACACCAAAACAATGACAGTTAACGTCAGGCAAACTCAGCAGTGAGTTGACAGATGAGGAGGCGACGGTGGACGGGTACAGCGCGGGCAGAACAGATTCCACCGGGGATTGTTTTGACAGCACTGTTTCCTTACGTAATGAGAATTTGGCATGGCGATCGTCTCGCTTGTTGACGGGCTTTGTTGGATGTCAGATTGACAGCGTCGCATTAGTCACCATCTTTCCCCGCTCTGCCCGTCTGTTCAGCGCACCTTGTTAGCCGGTGAGGTGGTGCCAGAATCCCTTTTTCAATCTCTGATTTGATTTTCTGCCATCTCTGTCTCCCTCTCAGATAGTCCTGCTGAGGAATGTGGACTGAAAACAGGCGACCGTATCCTCTTCCTCAATGGACTGGACATGAGGTTTGTCTTTAATGGAAAGCATTAGTATTATTATTAGCAGCAGCAGTAGTAGTAGTATTTTGTCTTTGCCTACTGTCCAAGTTCTTGAACTTAGTCATTATATTTAGATACCTGTTTCTCTCCCGGAGAATCCATCTGCTGCTATGAAAAGCCATCTTTCCCTGTGCCAGATAATCCATCACAGACCACATGAAGCTTTTATCTTAATCATTATTTCACTGTTTCTGGGCTGAGCTATATTGCGGCAGCTTCAGGTCAGTCATCCTCAGGAGAAAAATGAATCCCTCTTAAAATACGTAGCTTTACAAAATGTATCTGACTCTCTGAAGTATTGATCTGAACCAACAAACAAGCGTCATTTTACATAATAAGCCTAATTGAGAAATAATTTGACAGATGGACATTTGCTGTATAATTCAACATGTGTGTGTTTGAACCGATGCACGTGAACGCAGCCTGTAAACGTCTCTTGTGGGAGCAGCTGGCGTTCTTGTGTGGACTGTACAACTTCTTGACTTTCTGCCTCCTGATTTTCTGAGAGTGAGTGTGGGAGTGCGGATCATCAACCCAGAGTGGATGAAAGTGAACTGTACCTATACGAGGTCAGCTAAATACCGTATATATCAAGCAATGTGTCAGCCAATGCACCCGGTGCTGTGTGAAAAAAAAAAAAACAACCCAGCATTACTCATTCTGCCACCCTTATAGCCATGTGAGAGAAGAATCGCAGAGCTGTTCCCAAGGCTGCCTGATGTACAGATTTGAATGGCGCGGTATAATTTTGCCGATCAACACGGTGCTGCAGCAGTAGGAGGTGATCAGGAGAAACAGTGGGAGTTGTTCACCAGAGAGAGCAAAGAAAATAAAGTACAAGACATGTCGAGCTTTCAGTGTCGTGTTTACAGAGTGAGCATATGATGTATGGTCATCTACGAGAGTCTGTAATATTAATGTAAACATTTGTCTGTACAGTCCTTGTCTCAGGTTTGTTGAAACATGCGAGGATTCCTTGTCGATACAGTATCTCATTTAAAAGAAGAAGATGTTCTTTTTGTACCGTAATATAAAAAGTGTGCGTCCATAAGGACTCGTCGAGGAGTCGGCATGTCACTGGATAAAATCAGAGCCAGAAATCATGCATTTCACAGTGTTAAGTATGTTTTTGTTCGCGGCTTGATAAGAATTTCTCTGGAAAATTTAGATTTAAATTTAGTATTATTTAGACTAATGATGACAAGTGATTGTCTCTTATGCACTATTTTACAAAATGCTTTCTAGTTTACTGGTTTTATTTGGGGAATCTTACCTTCTTTTTTTTTATTTATTCAATGAATAACAAAATCATAATTTATAATTGCAGCACACCTTTAACAGACAGACCTCTTGCTAGCTTTATTCACCCTCTTCATCGGTTAATGCAACTGGCTCAAGTGTTCTCATGTGAAGTGTGGAACTTGAGCACAATTATACAGTTTTACATATATTATCATAATGGGTCATGAGTGCTGTAGCTAAGCTTTGAGTAGGAGAAAATTACTTTCTACCCCCCCCACAAAGACAAATAGATGTGAGGGGTCTCAAGATGATTTACAACATAGAACAAAACCCCTTTCTGCTACTCAAAGTTATGTTTGTTTTTTCATACTAAATTATTCTGATACTGTATAACAACTCTCTCTCTCTCTGTAGGAACTGTTCCCATGAGAAGGTGGTGTCCATGCTGCAGGGCAGCGGGGCGATGCCCACCCTGGTGGTGGAGAAGGGTTCGTCTGAGTACTCCTCAGACCAAACCGACCCAGAGGAGTCTCCAAACCTGGCCCCCGCGACGCTACCGCGCTCCAGGTCACTAATCACAAACCCTGACCTTTTTAATTTACAGCTCCTGGTCCGCAGGGACGAACACGCTCACATCAGAACCCTCGGTCAAGTCACGCTGTATTTCATGTCATGTACGAATTAAAGAACAAGGGGAATCTTCTTCTGCGTCTGCCGTGCAGGTCTCCAGCCCTCAGTTCTCTGCAGTGGGTGGCAGAGATTCTTCCGCCGAGCATCAAAGTCCACGGGCGGACCTTCAGCCAGCAGCTGGAGCACCTGCTGACCATCCAGGAGAGGTACACGGTCTGCAAGTCCCTGGAGACCTTCTTCCAGCACAGGTCAGTAAGACGGAGAGGGTCTATGACTGGAAAGTAGTAGATCAGGGAGCATGGGGGGTATGCATGAGGTGATAGGAAACACGTAGGTCTGCAGTCTTCAACAATGCAATATTAAACAGACGGAAGAGAGCTGAGGGAGGAAGTGAGGAGAGAAGCAGCTGCTGGAGTTGTTGCGGAGATTTTGGAAAGTCAAATAATTCTTAAAAATACATGCAGCTTCCCCCCACGGGAACATCAGTACATTAGGTTGACAGCTCCAAATGGTAGCAAGAGACAGCTGCAAATGAAGTAGCTTAAAGTTAAGTTTTCAGCATTTTTTTAAAACTATCTTGGTGGCAAGACTCTAAATAGCTAGCTTACATTGACAGAAATGTAGCTGTTGCCTGGGAAACTGTGTTTTTTTTTACCGCACTTTATATATCAGAGTGCTGAGGACGCTCTAAATGCAGGCGAAAGAGAGAGATGGAAAAAACGATGGTGACAGGACAGGGAGAGAAAAGCAGCGAAGAAACAAATGCACATAGCTGAGCAGGAAGTTTAATCTTCCCATTACACACTGATAACATCCCCTCAAGGAGGAAGGCTTGAGCACAAGAGATGGATGGAGCTCTGCAGATGACGCAAACATGTGATTCTGCAGCATTATAAGCAAAATACGTATTTAATTCTACAGAATGTGCATACAGTAAAACCCCCCCAGGAGGCGTAACTCCTACTCCTAACCGACATCCCTGTTATCCTCCCACCTTTACATAATCTGTTTTCATCCTGCATCTCATTCTCAGATACATGTTTCATTACGGATGCAAAGAATCTAAATCTAAGCCAGGTCCTGACATCACATGGCAATACATTACCCAGCAGTAAGGGCCTGGTTATACAAAGATGTGTAAGGATGCATTGTGTGTTTGCAGGAATGTGGACACTCTGATCGTAGACGTGTTTCCGGTGTTGGACACTCCGGCCAAACAGCTGATCTGGCAGTTCATCTACCAGCTGCTGACGTACGACGAACAGGAGCGCTGCCAGGGCAAGCTGTCACGCTTCCTGGGTTGCAAGAGCGGCGGTGAGCCGAAAACACGACGTGGAAATAATACACGTACCGTATCAGCAGACAGTCAATAAGTTGCTTGTTTGATTAATTATTTCTATCGTGTGAGGTACGAAACAATATAATTAAAAAATTGCCTGATGAAAAGTCAAGCTTTTATTATCAACCACCTGGTGTTCGATGGACTGAGAGGCTGTTTCTTTCTAATTAACACAGGCGCAAAGCCAGGAGCAGCTGTGCGTGATTAGCTTGTGATCAACAAAGATGTGTTTGTTTGTGTGTGTGTGTGTGTGTGTGTGTGTTTGTGTGTTTGTGTGTTTGTGTGTTTGTTTGTGTGTTTTGCAGCAGCGTTGGAGCCTGACATAGGCCCGGAGCACCACCGGCGGAGCAGCTCCATGCGCGTGACGGGCACGTCGTACCGCGGCATCGTTCGGGAGAGGAGCTCCGACGACTGCATCATCGGGACTCACCTGGGAATGGGTACGCTGCACATGGCGAACAGCAAGAGCAAAGGATGTACTGCCCTGTAGCTCAACATCTGTGTGATCAATACAGGGTTACATCAAGGTTTCAAAAGCTTTCCAGCTCCGTTCTAGATCAGAAACTTCTCACACAAGTGGGGAAATTAAGACAACCGAACAAAGATATCATCATATCATAATTATTTGTTTCTCTTAAAACCTAGCTGACTAGCTCTGCTGAGATTCAAACATTCTAACAAGGCATCTAACCCACCAGTCATCAGTTGAACTGCTCAGAGCTCCGTAATGAGGCTGCGTTCGCACTGGTCATCTCCCAGGTGGGAATGTGTGTAATTGTTACTAAAAAAGAGGTGTGCTCAGCAAATCCTCTGTGGATATTTGAAGGCTACATGAGACAAAAATGGGCCATGATACATTCATACATTAACTCTCATATCTCAGCTGTGCTTTTGATAATGTCCCCGAGCTATCTGTTTGGAAGCACATACAGTGTTTATTTCCAGCACATTTCATTCATGGTTCCCACTGTTTTCCATTGCCACCGCTAACTCCTGCACCAGGAGCCAAGCTTTTTGTCTTTTGTTCCTCTGCGCTGTTCCTCTCTTGCTTCATCCTCTCTCCTGTCTTGGCTCGGGGGTGGATGGAAGGAGGAGGCTTATGTGTCCCTCTTCGTGCCTTATTGTGCTTTAGGAATTCATGTGGATGAATCTGGGAGCCCGGAGGAGAGGCAGTCAGGAGACGGAACCTCCTTCCCCGAGTCCCCTGACCTCAGTCATGTAGGTACAACTGCAGCTTTTCAGCGCCGAGCTTCTCAGCAACTGGCATAATGAATGCTAGTTATGTTAAATGTGCTGTCTGGTCTCTCATCATTTGAAGGTCTGCTGGTAATTACTGCAATTTAACACGTGGTAATACGTGTAACCGGTAATACTTTACGGTTGCAGTTTACCTGTGGTGTGCAAATTGTTCCTAAAAAAAAACGCTTTAAGAGCGACAGACCTTCAAAGCCGATGTGTCGCAGCGTTTGTGTGCTAACCAGCTGATCATGCCTCCACCCGTAGATGACAGGCGTGTACACGGAGCTGGAGAACGTGTACGCGGGGAAGAGTGCGTCGCCACTGCAGGGCGGCTCCTCAGCAGAGCCAGAGGGCCCGGGACATACTGAGGCCTACGGGCGCTCTCTCTCCCCCCTCACTCTCCCCCCTCTCACAGGTACTCTGGGGCTGACACACACGCCCAAACAAACACACACACACACACACACACACACACACACACACACAATGTGCGCATGCTTTCAGACACATGCTTTCATCAATGGTTCACAACCATGTGCCCGTTAGGTTTGATGCATTTGTGGATGAATTATTGAATTCAAACATAGTAGAACATTGAGCCTCAATGGCACATGATTGCTGCCAAGTTCAAGTAACGCTAGATTTGCTGTAAATACAAGCTGCTGAATGTGATGGACATTGGTCATTACAGGTATCAAACCTGGCATTAGATCCACTGACCTACGAACAGTTCCACATATATTAGTAATGTTCACATCTCATCTGCAGCCTCGTGTTTATGGCTGATTTAACATTAAACATGAGTTTGTTTTGCCAATCCAATGGGAACAACGGCATGAGAACCACTGAACATGTTCATGTTAGAACTCACTCAAATTGTACAAGAGCCTGCAGTTGATCTTTTTGTTGCCATGGTAACCTCTCAGACAAAAGAATCCCCGAGGCGACAACCGGGCCAAGAATGTCGCGCGTCATTTCTCGAGGAAATAAGTAGCATAATAAGTCATTTAAAAGTTCTCTGGATAAAAACATCTGCAGCGTGAGCTCCAAATGTCACACACTGAACACATCATGATTCCATCTTCTGTTCACTTCTTTACAGGTTGTCGTAAATCCGGCCTGTCGCTGTCCTGGAAGGAGCCTCTCCCCACTCCCGTGTACCAGATCCACCACCAGAACAGCGTGGACTCCAACCCTTACGTCAGCCTGGAAAGCCCCCCCGCTTCCCCTCAGCACTCCGACAGCGGTCCCAACACGCTGACCCGCCGCAAGAAGCTGTTCACCTTTTCCCGGCCGCCTCGCAGCCGGGACACGGACAAGTTCCTGGACGCTCTGAGCGAGCAGCTGGGCCACCGGGTCACTCTGGTGGATGATTTCGTACCCGGGGAGAACGACTACGAGGAGGTGAGGAAGACCCGCCTCTAATCTACTGCATCATCATCTGTTTTTATGCACACACTTTTTTAAATTAAGGTATTTTCAATTTGTTTTCAAGAGTTATACGTTTCAATACCTCATTATTCCTCCACCAAGCCTTTCATGAATTGTGAGTGCGCCTTCCGGTAGTTGAATAGTTCATGCAACGTATCACGAGGCCAGAAATGATTATTTCTATTTTTAAATACAAATAAGTCATTTTTAAATTAGTTGTAATACCTTAGTATAACTGCTGTAAAATGATTGTCAGTCTCTGTCTCATGCCAGGAATACTATTTGTACCTTCACTGCTGAAATTTTTTAATATTTTAAATATCGTTTGGGCCAAAGAACAATGTAATTACCTTCCTGTTATGTGCTGTAAAGTAATACCCTCGCTATGCTTTACAGCTTGACCCGGTTGCACACAATGTAAGATGCACTGTAGCAGATAACTGTACTAGTCGTGTTTGTTCAGGGAAACCATACGAATGTCTCACAGTTACATTTTCAATGCTAAAATATTACATGTAGCATCATTTCATAAGACAATCTTGCTGTTGTGCAAACTCACATTTGCCTGAAGTAATGCCGTTGTAGTGTTGCATGTTTACATTAGAGCAGCTCTAATGTGCGCTACAATGAACACTTGTGTCACATGAACAGATATATCAAGGTGGTTGTCATGGTTTCAGAAGAAGAGGGGTGCCTGTAAGTAAAACATGATACTCAGTTACACAGTAGAGTCTAATTTTATCTACGGTTAAGATGTTATCTAGAGGTGCTGGCTGACGTAAAGATCATCTAACAAAGAGCCGTGTTACTGCTTTGTCGTCAGGAATGTGGAGCGCAGCATTTTCTACATAATTGCCTGAGTTCGTAAAACTGATCTTTTTTTCGTATTATTTTTGGTATTTTACAGTTAACTTCATATTATTAGATTGCATTTCTTGTGTTCCATAAATAGATGGGTTGGACCACTGATAACATTTAATTGCATGCATTATATATATGATGTTATTTTATTTTGTCATCTTTTATGACTTTTCTATCCCGTTAGTAGGTAAAAAGTGAAAGACTGCACGTCCAGATTGATAAGCAAGACAAAATAAATAAAGCCCACGCAATGCATTTTTTGATTTGCATTAGAGTACGTTGAAGTGAGAGTTGTGATTATCAGGTGTGATGGTGTTCTCCTCCTCCCTCCAGATGAGTTTCCAGGAGGACCAGGACTCGGGCTTCATGCCTCGCCACCTCAGCAGTGGCAGCAGCGAGGACCAGAGCAGCAGTGACGAGGCCTCCTCTCCCTCCTACTCCTCGGGGTCTGAACCCATCCCGCCACCTCCCACCCAGAGCCCCCCTCCTCCCCCGCCTTTCCAAGCTCTGATACCGCCCCCTGTTCAATTCACTGACCCACTACCGCCGGTCCGCTTCTCCCCCGAGCACGTCCCCCGCAGCCGCATGCCCTTCCAGCCGCAACACCCCATCATCCCTCCACCCCCGCCCCCTCCGAGGACCATTCTGTCCAGCCGCTGTCCTCCAAACAAAGTGCTCCCTACCAGAGAAGAGGCAGAGAAAGCTCACCAGCGCTTTCAGACCACCAACACAACGACCCGCCTCTCGCACAGCCACTCCACCCTGGGTACCACCACCCTGCGCTCCTCCCAGCCGTCTCGCCCCTGCTACCTCCCCCGGCAGCTCAGCCAGCCCCAGCCTATCCTGCAGCCCATCTTCCAGCCCTCCCCTCAGCCCTCCCCTCAGCCGCTGAGACCGAGCCATCTTGTCCTCCAGAGACACCACCAGCTCCACCACCAACACAGCTACCAGGGCCCGCTGCCGCCGTCCCTCGAAGAGCAGGGCTCGTCCCAGTGTCCGAGCCAAGGCCCCGCGGGCTCCTCGCTGCTCTCGAAGCATCCGGCCTCTCACTCCACCCTCCCTCACTCCACCCTCCCCAGTCACACCAAAAGCTATGAAACCCCACGACAGGAACACCAGTCACAACAGGTAACATATACATTTACAGTAGTTATTTAAAACATGATGATGAATCACAGCAGTGAGCGCCCTAGCAACAGAAGTTCAAAAGTTTTGATGCTATATTTGGCATCACACAATATGTGGATGCAAATAGAAGACCTTGAGATTGACAGAACAAAGACCATACTGCGTCTTTTGGCAGCTCTTTGCTTCTGTTACACATTTTTTTTAAAGGAAACATGTGAGAAAAAGCTGGTAAATCTCAAGCAAACTTCAGCATCTGCTGAAACGTCGGTGCGCAGTATTGAGTGTGATGTCACCTTTTATGTCTAATGGGAGAGTTTGTAAACAGTAAAAAGTGGGGAGACGATTCCAGCACCGTTTCAACAAAATGCTACAAAATCTCTTGGTGAAAACTTAAAAGTTGTGAGCGGTTGCATATGTCCTATAGAAGAAGATTAAAATAAGAATGTAAATCTCCAAAGGCACCGCCACCCCCGCCTCCACCCCTTCCTCCACCCTGTGAGCCGCCTCCGCTGCCCAAGCCGGGCCACCACGCCTCGGACACCAACCACATGAGTGTGAAGAGGCTGCGCTGGGAGCAGGTGGAGAACTCTGAGGGAACGATATGGGGTCAGGTGAGTCCGTTACATTAGTCTTTGATAATGTGTGATTTAAATACAGTAAATACAGTAAGATTACTTGTGAATCTTTGCACATTGGCTGTGAATTTTCTCACTCTTCCTACAATTCTCTGCTCATATTTGGAAAGACCTACTCATGTTGTCTGTCGTGTCTGTGATGAGTCATGGCAGCATGGAGGCACTAATCTTATTCTTTAAAATAGAATACATGGTGGATCTTTGGGCTCGCTTTGCAAACCTATCAGACGCGGGAAAACATTTGTTTTTGACAGCTCTTTGTATGCGACAAAGCCTTGACTGTGTCCTTGTCTGTGTTTAGCTCGGAGAGGACTCGGACTATGACAAGCTCACTGACATGGTGAAGTTCTTGGACCTCGATCTGCACTTCGGGACTCAACGGCGATCCAGTAAGTCGTTGTGTACTTGTGGTCCCCCCCCTCTCCCATACTGCAGTGTCATCGTCGTATCTTTATTTACATCATGCTGACTGTCATACGGTGATAGTCAAACCGATTAGAAGAGGACCTGTTTGCAGTGAAAGTAAATATATGTGTTTATCTATTGACATCTCCTGTTTTGTTTGTACCTTCACAGTTATGATGTTCTGCATAACCTGTTTTGGAGCTGCTCCATTCACCTGTTCATCAAATCCATTCTCCATAAGGCACCATAACCCCCCAACTCCTCTCCTGTGTTGACAGAGATCAGTAATAACACGGCTCTGCCAAAGGAGGCACACACCATGCTATTATTTATTGTAGATATCTCAGACGGTTTGGCCTCTGGTGACTCAAACGGCGGAGCTGTGTTATTAACCTATCAACCTTCCACATCTAGCCTGTGCGTGTGCGAGTGCGTGTGCGTGTGTGTGTGCGTGTGTGTGCGTGTGTGTGTGTTGACCCCCTGGTGCCTGGAGAACACATCCTCACACTGTTGTTAATATTATCAGTCTCTCCTCCAGAGCCAGCCTTCTTGCCAGAGAACTTTAAAAAGAAAGACGTGGTGGAGATTCTGTCTCATAAGAAAGCCTACAACGCCTGTAAGTACCATAAAAACACGGCAGACGGTCACACCTGAGCGGTCGTGTTTCAAGTCTGTGAGACGACGGCAAACTTACACACACACAACAGTATTTTACGATAGCTTCAAATCGCCGACTTGACTCAATCAAATCTTAAAATGCAAAATGCTAAGATAGATTTTCTCCATTGACTTGATGTACTTCTGCCAACTGTGTTTTGAGACTGTAGGTGATGTCAAGTAAAATGCATTCACATTGTTTTCATACACTTTTCCACACAGCTGTCACATAGACACGTGTTTGTTCAAGCACAAGTGCAGACCCTGAACTCAGTGTCAGGTCTGCTCATGGCATTCTTAATCTCAATGAAAAGGACAACAGCTGTCATCCTGGATAATGTGATCAGAGTGTAGTGCAGCATGTCAGGAGAGACTCAAAGCCCATCCAACAACAACAACGGCCTCTCTTACCCAATGAAAGTGAGACTTTTTTCGTCAGTTTGGGAAAATGTACACACACTATGCAATTTCCAGTTCAGGTTACACTCACAGGTCACGGCCTGTGGTGATGATAAGATTCAGATTAGCTTTGTCACACAAAGCTAATTTATTCAAAGTTTCTGTACAGGAAACACAGTACAGTAGGCGGGATGTCGATGCAAATCTATGACCTAATAAATGACATAGCTACGGAGCAGTAAACAGACAAACATTTTGTTCATTATATTATGCTTATCATTTTTTTTATTCGATGCACTGTGTTGGAAAAATAAGGTTGTTTGTCATTTTTCTGTCTTGACTGAAGAGTTTTCTTTATTGCACTATGTTGTTCTTCAAATGTGTCTTAACTAGTTCAGGCTAACGTGCTGTTATCAGGCTTAAGTTATCCTGTTAATTCTCATCCAACTAATTTGGTTCTTTGAACTCATTTTGAGGATGGATTTGAGTTATCTTCAATAAGCGCTCTTATTTTGAAAAAGAATAAAAACCTGGTCAGTGTTGATATGATTTGTTGATCATTTGATTGCAGTTACGTGCGGCAGGTGTGTTGGGAACACTCCCAGCATGTACTGGGGCAATAAATTCATTTTGTGTGTGTTCCTGCGTTGTTACCGCTGTTATTATCTTCTACATTGTGCCGCACAATGTTTCCACACTTTCATGACTGTTAAATGGATGTTACCAGTGAATACAGTTAACCTACGAGTGGTGTTGGTGCATGATAGGTGAAGGTTCCAACTGAACATGAAAGAGACTTTTCGGTGACAATGAGGAGCATGCTATTAAAATGGAAAAACATCTTTAATTGCGCAATTATTTTTTGCAGTTAATCATTTAATACATTTGATTTATTCCCATTTCCGTTTGTAGCAGTCAGAATCTTTCAGTTGAGTTCATGTCTTTTTGCTCACACTATCTCAAAACTATATTTTCTTGTGTATTGTTTATTATATTTCTGTATATTTTATCATGTATAAGTAACTCTTTATTGTGAAAAACAACAGATCACCGTAAGGATTTCTTAATACCCTGCATGTTCTCATCTTAAATCATCATTATTATTATTAACACTCTTTCATCATAAATCTAAGAAAGAGAGCCATTTGTATCCGTAAATGAGTTCATGTATGGAGTTATTGATCATGATCCAGCTGACTGTCAATAATCCTGTACTTTGTTTGTGTTATGGTTGACCTGCTGTATTAGTTTCTGTAAAATGTCTTTCTTGCTGCCGTGTTTCCTTTATTCCAAATTAAGAGCGGTGATTCTCCACTGACTGCCGGCATCCTCTCCTTCCTCTTCTTGTGATTAAGAGAATAAATGTTCTCATGATGAAAATGTGTCTTCACTTGGTGATCCTAAAAACATGTTCCACTTTATGATTAAAAATAATTACCGTATTCATTTTCTTCATGGTTATTAAAATGTTGTAGCAGGCTCTCTGTTAACACGTCCATCATGCACTAACATCACTCATAGTCTGATCGCATTCACAGGTTAACTTCTAAGTGTGGTGAAAGTGTGGCAACGTTGTGACGCACAATGTAGAACAAAAGAACACCAGGAACAATGCAGGAACACATGCAATGACACCTGTGTTGTTACGTCGAATCTATTGCCCCAATGCATGCTGGGTGGCTTCCCAACACACCTACCTTATTTCACTGTAATCACATGATCAGCACTCAGCAAATCATATAAACACTGAAGACAGTTTCAACTTTAAACGCTCTGCTCAGTTAACCTTTATTTCAAAATAAAAGCGCTTATCCGAGATAAAATGAGATTAATATAGCAATCCTTAAACTGAGTCTAAAGAACTAGATTAGCTGGATGAGATTATTTTTAGCCTAATTACAGCATGGTAGCCTGAATTAGATAAATAAGTAACATAATGTGAAAATGTAGATGTGAGTAATACATGAATTTAACAGTGATAATGGCAAGTAATGCAAAGTGGAATCATTGCATCTGCTGTACTATTTGTATAACCTTTGAACAAATAACCACTGCAGACACTGTAATGATGAAAATGTATTTACAGCATTATGTGACAGACCACTCTATTTAAATTGCAACTATTATTAAAATTAAGTGATAAACACCATGCGGCGATAAAAAAACAAAACATTTTGTGTTAAGAGGTCTGTAATACAAGTGAAAAGCTCATTTTCTTTCTTTTCTTTAAGTTTCTGTTGTTTACAGTGTGAGTTGTATAAAACTGGTACATCTTGGGATATTTAGGATTTATTTCTTAGTGATAATATCTTAACTGCCTTGGATGCATGTGTAAATAACATACTCATACAAATGAAAAAGTAAAATAGAAATTGAAATCTCATTTTGGCAAAAAACACATTATTTATAAAGTCAAAGTCTCGAATAATACACAGTGGAAAGTTACACGTCATCAGAGGGGGATGAAAGGTTTTGTGAGGAACATGTTGATCCTCTTCACAATGTTGAAAAAAACGCAAGTAATTCCTCCCCCTCCTTCTCCTCCTCCTCCTCTCTGCAGCCATCCTCATCGCCCACCTGAAGCTCTCTGCCAGCGAGCTGCGTCAGGTCCTGATGGACATGACCACCGACAGGCTGGAGCCCGCCCACATCAAGCAGCTGCTGCTCTACGCCCCGGACAACGAAGAGGTCAAACAGTACGAGCAGTTTGAACAGGACCCGGCCAAACTGAGTGAGCCCGACCAGTTCATTTTCCAGGTACGCCAACAAAGGACACTCAACCAAAGTTGGGAAAAAAAAATCAAGATGGAATGATTTGAGTGAATTAATGTTTTTGTGTGTTTCAGATGCTGATGGTGCCCGAGTATAAAACCCGTCTGCGAAGCCTCCACTTCAAGACCACCCTGCAGGAGAGGATGGAGGAGATGAAGGTTGCGTACGATTACATCTACAAGGCTTCAGTGGAGCTAAAGAGCAGCAAGAAACTGGCCAAAATCCTGGAGGTAAACACCCAGAGCAGGGGAAAAGAATGTGAAGCCATCCATTTTTATATTAATTGTGGTCATTAAGTTGTTTTTTTTGCCCAGTTTGTACTTGCAATGGGAAATTACCTCAACAACGGCCAGCCCAAAAGCCACAAGACAACCAGTTTCAAGATCAACTTCCTAACCGAGGTACAGCAATAACCCCTGCGTTTCAGCCACGTTATGTTCATCCTGACTATGTTTTCTTTGGTCATTCATTCCTTCCTTTCTGTCCCGCAGCTAAGCACAACCAAAACAGTAGACGGGAAATCCACCTTCCTCCACATTCTGGCCAAGTCTCTGTGCCAACACTTCCCAGAGCTGCTCAACTTTTCCAGAGACCTCACAACAGTGCCTCTGGCAGCCAAGGGTACGATGATGTTACATCAGCAGTGCGCTTTAACTCTGCTTCAGCAGCAAAATGCAGTCCTTCCGGCCTGTGAAATGAGCATTTCCATACAGTACGCAGTGCGCTGTGTGTCACTGCAGGGCAGGCCGACTTAACTAAAAGCAATTAAACCATGTACAGGTGTTAATAACTGCTACTGTTTTGCTAACTCATCACCTAATATTTCCATCTAACGGTGTTCAGTGAACCAGAGGGCCATCACAGCAGAGCTGAGTGACCTTAACTCCACCATCCTGGACATCAGGAAGGCCTGTCTGATGATCCCACCCACCTCCGAGGACCACTTTGCCTCCGTCATGAGCGTACGCTAACTGCTTTAAATATATAATACACATATACATATACCAGGTCATGGAAGCTACTGGTTGCTGACATGTTGTGACATGGAAGGAAACGTTTTGGGAAATATGCTTAGCTTTCTTGACACCTCCAGTTTGTATAAAAGTGTGTAGCAACTTCATCAAGGTTATTTCCTGACTTGAGAAAACTCCTTCAGGGCCATAGAAGACATTAGTAGAACCCCTCATGACAAGTAAACTGACTTTGATGTGTAAAGATTGGCAGGTGTGCCTCTTTGATGTGTGACCCTTTGCACCCACAGAGCTTTATGGAGAACAGCCACCCTGCCATCCAGTCTCTGGAGTCTCTGCAGACCCAAGCGATGGAGGAGTTCTCCAAGGTGGCCTCCTTCTTCGGGGAGGACAGCAAGTCCGCCAACACAGAGTCCTTCTTCGCCATCTTCGCAGAGTTCATTAGCAAGTTTGAGGTGAGATGATGCTGTACTCTTCAGCTGTGACTGTAGAAGCAGCAATGATGTATTTGACTTGTTCCTGCAGGTAAGCAGCTCATAGATTAATATATTCAGCAGATTAAGTGTTCAGCTGGTGCTTTCACACAGACATCATCATACATCATAATGGCACACTATACTGTGACATTTTTATGGCATAGTATACTATGAATTTATGTTACGGAAAAGATTACCCAATTTGCATTTTACTACGATGACTTTTTACGATGTACTATACTATAACGTTTTTATGACTTTTGTATGACATTCTATACTATGACATTTCTTTACAACATACTATACAATGACTTCTTTATCACATTTATTTGGCATACTTTACTGGGATTTTTTAATGTTATACTATACTGTAACATTTAATGCCATTTTTATGACATACTATAGTTTCACTTTTATGACATCTGTCATTTTTGACATTTTGATATGGCACACTATACTATAACTTTTTATATAATATTTCTATGTTATATTATACTATGACTTTATGTTGACATTCATAACTGTATGTTGACATTCATATTGTATACCATACTATGAAGTTTTTTATGACATGAATTGATTAAGCTGCGAAGTGATGCCATCTGTGGAATAACCGAATGTGCTCCAAATCTGAAAATAATATGTTGAAATGAGTATAAATCACCTGAGATTATGACTTGTGTCTTGCAGAGAGCCCTCACTGAAACCCAGACTCCAGAATACCCCAGAAGTCCCCGACTGTCTTCCCCTCTGGCCTGGTAAAGGCAAGGAATGCGGGCAGACGTCTGGCCAAATCGACAGGCCGGTCGGCTCTGTTTTCACTCTGCTTTCCACAACCAAAGTGCCAAGATCACGCACAGAGACACTCAACCCAACGGGAACAGAGACCACGTCTGCTTCAGCAAACAGAATGAAGATGCGCTGTATTTATCTGTAGATAGTCACAACAGCTAACGAGTGCTCCGTGTGCTATATTACTGTTATTTCAGGTGTTGGGTAGAGCAGGAACATTCAGGTGTCCACAGGAACTCATCGCACACTGATGACTCAAACCAGTCTTTACATTATTTACATCTTTAATACAAACATGACATAGTAGTAGATAGTAAAAGTTACATGAGGGAAACCATACACGCACATTTTGATTGCTCCAGTGCATCTTGATGCTGCATTACAATGAGATGTAAGTAATAAAAACAACTGGTCTGGATATTTAGATTACTTTAATACATGACTATATAAAGTTTATATTTTCTATCAGATCATATTTGAAAATTGTAAAGATTAAGCGTAGATGTAGACTGACGACAGTTCTCTAGAGGCAAGGCAGGTGTGGTTTAGTTAGCGTGTACAGAGCCAGATGTTTCCTCCAGCGGTGCTCTCACTGCTTCCCATACAGCATGATTTGATTTAGAGATGATAGACATCGGAGTGTTTTCTAACATCATGTATCCACATTAAGTAACTGGCAACCCTGCACAACTAAATGTCCATCAGTATTTTTTAATCCTCTAATAAATTCAAATAGATGGTTTTATTTCAATAATAATTCCTCCTTCGTCATCGGCCATTCAGCATCAGCGGTGTGATTTTTGCCTGCGTGGACTCGAAATTCATTCCGTAAGGTATTCATTTGCCAAACATTATTCACAACACCTTCCACAGCGAGGCAACACTCACTGCATCAGCACATGGTGAACGCGTCCGTTTCATAGAGCGCGTCTTGTTTTCGTCAGCACAGAAAGATGAGAGGCAGCTTTATTGTGATTGGGCTGAGCTGTGTGCTTCTGGCACTTTGTCAAGTATCTCTTGATTGTTTGTGAACACAGCCTGGGTTCAACAAGTGGGTGGCTGAATGAATGAATGAATGTCAAATGCGCATGTGGGAAAGAAACAAAAAAAAACCTGTACTACCTGTAAATGGTCATTTTCTGCTTTTCTGGTTTCTCTTGACTCATCTAACGAACAGAATACCCGTAGCTGTGTTGTAATTATGTTGATGAACTATTGAGTGTAAATGTACAGTTTTTGCTATGCACAGCTCATCACTTTCCATTTGGTATTGTATGCTTGTGTGTCTTTAGTTCATTTTCTTATTCAAGTGTCATTTTATTTATTCTTTATGCGCAGCTTTAGTCAGGGTCACGAGGCGACTGATCTCGTGAACATGCAATCCTAGCTGCTACTAGTGTGGTAACGGTGTGTCTTGTCCCAATCAATTGCATGTTGGTGCAGTTAATGTATTAAGATGTGCAGCTGGTAGTTTCCCCTCCCTGGATATTTAGGTTTAAAGTAAACACAGTTGGTCTCATTAGGTTTATTTATTGGTTGCCTACAGGCTCCCTTTTATAACCGTTTTATATGTTTTCATCACCTTTACGTTTTGTTCAATGCTTTCAAATGAAGGACATGTTTTTGATCTATAAAACTTATATCATGCCTGAAAGTAAAAACTGCTGTTATTGTTTGTACACAAACATATAAAACATCAGTAGATTTAAATAGTTTCTTCATGTACTTTATTTTCTTTGGAAAGGTGTATAACCAAGCATACATATTACATGTTTTTATTCCATATTTAAGCTCACCAGACGGCATACATACAAAACTATGGAGCTTAAAATGCAGCATTACCAATTCTAGTTTAATGGCATTTGTTCATCTTGCAGAGCTTTGAGATGCCAAGCTCCCTTTAATACACGGGGATAAGGCAGCGAGGTACAGGAGCGGGGGGGGGGGGGTTATAACGCTCGATCGTCTCTGAAGAAACAAATTAAAACTCGTTTTCAGGGCGACTGCAGCATCCAAGACTTTCTTCATCGGTACCATATTGGGTCAGTTCTCTGGGAACAACACTCACTCGCATTACATCCGAGGCCAAAAAAGCAAAAACTTGCACAGAAAATACAACAAAGCATTTTTAATCTTTTGACCTGGCAAAGAAAAAAAAGAAAAAAATCTAACACCACATCACTACCGAGGTTTAACAGCGCAGCATGTCCTCAGCTCAGTGGGAAAGACTAAGCCAGTTCACTAGGAAACCCCTCATTGGCCTGCGCTCAAGTGCAACATCAGCTTGTTTATGCATCTTTCTGTTCAGGCTGGTAAGAAGTGCCCTTTCACTACATTCCCCCCCCCCAAACACAAAGATCGATGCAAAAACAGAAAGGCAAAATACTGACTCTTCAGGCTGGGTGGGTGTTTAATCCTGCTACTTCTGCTCATACAACTCAAGAGAAATCAACCAAAACACATGAAATACACAACCTTTTGTGGAACGATACAAGACTTCTATTGCAGAGGGTCAAATCACCTTCCTTTACGTCCCTGAAACATACTTGTTGCCAAAGACGGCTTCTTGGAAATACTGTAATACTCGGAGCCAAGTATATTCTCCATACAGTAAATATGTAATGCTTACTACATGTTCTGGGAGGAACCCATAAGGCATGATTTACATTTAAAGACTGCATTAATTACATCAAGCCACAGGGAATGTGTGTTTTGTTTTTTTAAATCTGTAAATAAATACATACAGGAGTGAGGGAACAACATAGGACGAGGTTTCCATCCAAAAATCAAGTGTTTGAGAAGACCGGAAACCTGCAGTCACCAGATACACTTAAAGCAACAGTTTTGGTTTCTACATCGCCTGCTGACCCCCCCCCCATGCTATAGAAATACCTTTTTTTTCTTTTCTTTTTTTTTTCAATTGCTCGTTCTAAGGCCATTTTTTAAAACATTAAAAAAAAAATACAAAACCATACACCAAATTCCAAAACGAGTCATTTTGGCATCCCCCCCTCCCCCGGTCAGTACCCATGCCTTGTATTGCTCATCATTGACACAGTTGTCTGATGTCATAATCAGCGGCCCTCTGCTGTGCGATTGTCTGGAGCTTGATCTGCAGGAAGCGCAGTAAAAAGATGAATGGTGGCGTCGGTGTGTTGCGTTATACAGCAGAGGCTTTGCGTCACTAAGTCTCCTCAGGACCACATCTGGTGCCTCTGTGGAGGTCAGGAGGACTGGAAGTAAATCATGGATCGTGACAGTTAGACTGGAAACCAGAGCTACCTGAAGATTGTGGTGGTTTGGTACAATGTGGTGATTTGAGCAGCAATTAATCTGCTCATCATTTTCTCAATCATCTGGTCTATAAAAAGTCCAAAAAATGATTAATTGATTATTAAAATTCTTGCATAATTTGGTTCCGGGTTAAAAAGCTGAGAATGAAACAGACACTGACATCATCAGCTGTAGAATCGGCTAAAAGAGCAGCTCCCTGTCAAAATAAAATCAACACGCATTAACCTCGTCTATTCAACGTAATACACTATCATAGCCATTGTTTACCGAGAGCTGTGGGCTTCCACCGGGGTGGACCAGAAGGGGCATTATAGTCACAGTAAAGTCCTCCATACAGGCTGGACTGGGAGAAGAAGACGGGCAGAGGAGGGCTGCAGATATGGGCCCGGGACGAAACACGAGCGGTCTACGTGAGGCGTGCGTACGATGAGAGGAGGTGCGTGGGGGTCTCCTCCTTATAGGACAGTGCTCTCAGTGTCCAGGTCACAGTCTTTGGGAGGAGGCAGGCCGGAGGAGGAGGAGGCGCTCTGCTGGTCTACAGCGAACTCGGGGACCAAAGCTCGACTCAGCCTTTTGAAAGACATCGCCGGGTCTAGAGAGCAAGACAGAGGACGAGGGGGAAAAAGTCACATTGAGGAGACAGTGAAGAACAAACAATGATAATTATCATAAACATGTTTTGCACATGATTGAATCTACTAGAAAAGATCAGTAACCGCTTGTGCTCATGGTTAATGTGTTACATAAACATGCTCAGAAGATAAATGCACTATTTAAGCCCACATCATATGAACAGTGGCCATAATCACAAACATGTGGGGCTTTGTCCCCGGAGTATGAAAAGCGGTCGCAATTATGCCATTCAATGCAGCCGTGTAATATTTTCCAGAGCTGAAGCAGCAGCAGCACCACAGCCGGGGGCGGATTATTGAACAGCAGGTGGCGGTGTTCCACCAGACACTGAAAGCAGTGAAAGTGGATGGAAAATGTGAAGTGTGGTGAAGCAGTTTTGATCTCCTCGGCTGTGTGATCAGAACTGGGAATCTACAGTCTTAGATTTGAATTAGCGAAAGAGCTAAATCTTTGACTGCGTGTGTGTGACATAAGAGCCGACTGTTCGATCTGAACATGTGTATCATCTTCAGCCGGGATATTAGTGACAAGACAAGGACATGCACATGAGTTACACATGCTTGACACATGGACACATTGTATGAATCATGTCATACAATGAATAACGATATGGAATTATTCACATTATCAAAGTAGAATTACTGATTTGCGGTTGTGTGACTCCGCCAACCAGCTGCAGCTTATGTTGATGTCTGTGTCCAGAGTAGTATAATAAATGAAGTGAAGTGAAAAAATGGCCCGGTATAGTATTTCACAAAATCATACAAAATGTCATAGTGTATATATAGTATGTCATAAGAAATGTCAGAGTTTATTATGTCAGTGTAAATGTCATAATTTAGTAAGACATATAAATTGCCACACATATGTCAAACAAAGTCATGTAAAAAGTCATTGATTATAAAGCAATCAAAAATGTCACACTACAGTATGTCATAAACGTCTTTGAATGTATGCCATTAAAAAATGTCAAAGTATAATCTGTCAAATAAAACTCACAATTGGGTATGCCTTCCAAAATGTCATCGTGTAGTACGTCAGAGAAATGTCATAATATAGTATGTAAAAAAAGTGATTGGATGTATGTCAAGTCATAAAAAGTCATCGTATAGTTTGTCATAATAATGTAATTGTAAGGTATGCCATAACATGTTTTATAGTATAGTATGTCAAAAATAAGTCATCATAGAATATGCCATAAAAACTGTAATAAAGGTTGTTGTATAGAATGCCAAAAAAAGTGATACCTTAGTATGCCATAGTACAGTATGCCATAAAGTCACAGTTAGGTGTGCTACAAAAATGTTATTTTAATAATAATAATAATAATATAATCCTCAGTTCATCCTCGAGTCCAAACGGATGTTTGTGTCAGTTGTTATGAAATTCCCTCCAGGCGTTCTCCTGAGGTTTTGCTTTCAATGAGGGCGGGACAGATGTGAGGACCCAGTGGCCTTTGACCAACAAATCCTCATCAGTCCACCAAGCCAAGGGGACGTTTGAGCCAAATTTGAGGAAACTCCAACATGGCGGTCCTGAGATATCGCATTCACAAGGATGTGACAGACATGCATATGGACGGACGGACCAAAACATACAGCGTCCGGTCACGGCTGCTGCCGGCGTCGACCCACCGACGGTCGGGGGTTTGTAAACCTGTATTTGGCCTCAGCTTTAACCCCTTATGGTATGACTAATGATATAACATTTCAGTGACTGTGAATGGCGATGAGTGACTCATGATAAACGATAGCCCTGATGGAACACGTGTCATATTGCATACGGTGGTCTTTTTTTGCGGCTCAACCGATGCCCCCATTTTCTGGTGTTAAAAATGAAGTTCTGCATTAGATTACTGATTCATGAACCTTCTGGAGGGAACAGGATCTTGCCCAGTGTTGGTTCAGGAGATGCAACATTAATGTAAGTACGTAAAGCAATAGAATTTAGGGATCCGGCCCTGTGGTACACAGTGTGACAGTCGTGCATCAGGGCTTCAGTAGGCACATGATGACTGATGGAGGCAGCAGGCAATAACATGTCTAGAGGTAAACAAAAAGAGAAGGTGCTGCTAATGAAAAGGTTCATAACAACAAACCTCTCAAAAGTGCCTCGTTAACCTGTGGAGGTTGTACAATGCAACAGTGTTAGAAAGAGAGCACATTCGTATTCAGCAGAGAGGAAACGGTGAACGTTTAGCTGCAGTAACTAAATGAGAGACACCACTCACCTATCATCTTGTAGGTAGTGGCGCAGATCCCATTGGTGTCACCGGCTAGTGCACTGGGCTGGGGGGGCGGTGGGATGCTGGGTCTGTTCCGGGGTTTGGGGACGGGTCGCGGCCGGGGAAGAGAGCCAGACTGGTAGGGAGACGGGGACGGAGGAGCTACATCCTGGGCAGTGGCGGAAGGCGGAGGGGTGTCTGGAGGGGTCGGGGTGCCCGGAGGCGAGGGGTCCGAGCCCTGCTGGTCCCCACCGGGCTGGCCGAGTGACGCGGGCTGGGTTGGAGGGCTGGCCGGTGACGGGGGCTCTGGAGGTGGGTGGCTGGGTGCTTGGATCGGGGGCTGGTTGCTGGAGTGGCGTCTGGGCGTGGCACACGGCTGTAAGGTGGGAGAGGTGGGCGAGTGGCTGGACAAGGGTCTGGGACTGGGGCTGAGGGAATGGGACGAGCCTGAGGAGGAGGAGGCGTGGTTCACTGAATTACAAGGCTGGCTGGGTGGAGGGTTCATTGGTTTGGGAGGGGCAGGAGCCTGCTTCTTGGTACCTGGAACTGATGGTAAATCTTGTGATTACTGGTGGAAAAGAATAACAAATATAATATCTGACAGCATACGTTGCTACGTCCATCTGTAAATGTCATCAGATACAATTTATACGCTCAGATTGAGTGCAATAATCCATAATTTAAAGAATGAAAAAAAACAAAATAATATGACAATGAATTGAATTGAAGCCTTTTGAGAAAATGAAAAAAAAAAGTTGCCTTTGGCTTCCTGTGACCAGGAACCAGATAATCACACAGACTCTTACCTCTACGCATCGTATGCGGACTGGGCCCCATGGATCCAGCCCCGGGGGACCCAGTGCCCAGCTGCCCTGCAGCGTGTCCCCCTCCTCCAGAGCCATTCCTCTGGAGCAGCGGGGTTGGGCCAGCCGTGGAGTCACGTTGCTTTGAGTTACTTTAGAGACAAAAGAAAGAAAAAAAAAAGAAAGTCTTATAAACCTGCATACTACTGCTTCCTGAAGTTCTGGTTAAAGCATGCTTATACAAGAACATCCACCTCTGTGTGTTTTTTTTTTAATTAAAAGGTTAGGTTACTCTAATCTGGGGGTCTCATCTAAATGTGCCTTTCCCAACATAGTCTGTGGGACCTAAAGAATGCTGAGCTGAATAGTCCAATCTGTCTGGATATGAAGGTTGTCCTTTCAGCAGCTAAATCAAAGACACCCTTCAGACGTTGCATAACAGGCACCAATGTCCGGGCTTTCCAAAGCAGTTTGGACCAGTTAGTGTGAGGTTCCTGCTGATTCCAGTGATTTGGGGGGGAAAGCGGAGGGATGGGAAGTCGAGAGGCCCTGGGAGTGAATGCTATGCGGAATGACAGCGGCCATTGTTGTAGCCGCGTCTGGGGGCCGAAGTCAGACACGTCTGCATAGCTGGAACTGGTGCCAATCAGACAGACCTCTCAGAGAAGGCACTAAACATGAACACTGAAAGTATAAAAGCATTTGTGTCGGTCTGTATGGCATGCTGTGTCATTCTGCACCTGCAGCAGAGATGCAGAGAGGCAGCCCTTACCTGAGCTCCTCTGTGTGCTGGGCTAGAAGCTGCTGAGCGGCTGCGAGCGCAGCCAGACTCTGTGCCAAGCTTTGCTGGGAAGCGTCAGGCCCTGAACCCCCTGACTGAGTTTGCGGCGGGGTCTCAGCCGAGGGCTGGGGGGCCTGCGCCGCCGCCGCCGCGTGCCCCTGCCCCGGGGCCTCCACGGGGGGTAAAGGAGGCTGGAAGGCGGGTGAGGTGTGCTGCTTTCTACCTAAGGTGTTACTGCCCCTACGAAGGGTGTGGTCCGAGTACTTGTTAGGGGTGCTACACGGGGAGAGCAGGGAGACAGTGCAGGAGAAAAACAAAAAACACCAAAGCTTTGATCAAAAAGTCACATTATGACCACGAGAGAGAGAATCACCACGACCCCAGAGCACACAGACAGAAGCAATTAAAAACAGCGCTGAGGATCATTTTTAAAGGATTCTATCAAACCGACTACCATTATGTTTTAGAAGCAACAGAAAGGGATCAGAAAAAGCAGCTGGATTAAAGGCTAAATTATTTCCAAAGCAATTCATTGGAGTAAGTCAGGAACGCTGTGGGAAGACGTGGAAAACAAGGCGGTTTCTAGTAACGGTGCTAAGCAGCTCCAGGTGGATTACTTGTCTTTGCGCGTTGCGTCGTTCTCCGGTCCCACCATGCTGCCGGGCCTCTTCCTCTCGATGGTGCCACTGTCGTAATCGAGGTGATTGTTGTGGTTGGAGGCAGGCGTAGGCATCGCAAACATGCCGGACACGTTGAACTCCACGTCTGTATGGGAAACGGAGACGGCAAGACAACCGGTTACAGTTACGACTGCATCAAAACCGGGGCAGGAAGTCGCCATCTTGTCTGAACCAAAGAAGTGAAGCCGTATGTATAAAATAATTGTGACAGTCTTTATCCAATAATGGTGGTGACAAACCAATGGAAAATATCTTAAAAAAGGGGCAGCTCACCATACTGGTACTTGACTTCTTCTAACTAACTCGATTAAGGGGAATATATCACATCTGTTTTCTAAGTTTTCATTGCAGCCTTTGGGCTGACCTCCAAAAGCACAAACCACAGTTTGAGCCAGGGCAGACACAGCAGCGATGTTAATCTTGGTCCTTGGGAGCTTGATTACTGCTGACTCTTTCTTTATTTCTAGGCAGTTAATATCAATCGTATATATTCCCCGTGAATCCCCTGGTGTACAATAGGCCCCGATTGGCTACAAACTGCTGCAAGAGGAAACACATAACCTACCCTCCGGAAAGAACCAGTCAGCATGCTGGATGATGGGCTCCACAATGGCCACCACGTGCACAGAGGTAGCTGCAGCCATTTCCGCCAGACTCCTGGGTGGACATGTACAGATGAGCAGAAATGAGATGCTTTTCTAACATAACGGAGGGGCTGAAATTAGCTAAAATAACCGGCTATCCTCTTTCACCACCCATGGTCAAGGACCGTGCCTCTCAGAGGTTATTACACTCCCTTTGTTTTACGCATCGACCGACACATAATCCCCCTCTCACCCCTCAGTCTTGGCCCACATCAGGTTGGGTCCGAGGACGATGGCGATGTTGCTAGGAGTCATTTTGTTGACCTCGCTGTCCTGAGCAAGTTTGGCTAGAAACTTCACCAGATACCTGCGAGGCACACATGGGCATTAGAATGAGCACAGCTGCTAACAGTGTCTCGTACAAAAGAAGACATTAAAGCATTGCCATCAGGACCTTTTCTCTCAGTAGGTTTAAACAACTAACCTCAGGTTGGTTTTGTTGTTCTTTGGTAGCTTATCACATACAACCCACAGCGCTTGGAGCCTCTTGTCTGGGTCTGACACACTGGAGAGATAGAAAAGGAAATAGCGGAGCACATTATTAGGTCAGTCTCCAGATGGCTAAATGTCCCAAATGAATCATCCTATTTTTTCCTCATTGCTGTACACACCGACAGACCCATTCAACATTGATACATTTTAATCCCAGTCATAATGTTATGAGCCTTGCCTGGAGGCCTGGATCCATTCATCATAAAGCTGGTACGTCATGAGAGGTTCAGGGAGTTCCCTCAGGTAGGACTTCAGAGCTCCTGAAACCACACAGCCGCAGATATAGTTTGAATATTTGAGCCTCTTTTCCAAGCGAACAAACATCGCCTGTTATAAGTTTATACTGCCCTTAGTATCCAACCCTTACTCGTTTCTGGATCTAACAGAATATAAATTGTAGAATTGCTCCAAGTAATACACCAGGAAAACAACAAACTTCAAACATGACTCTGGTTTGGGACGTACCAGCGACAGCGTGGGGGTCGGAGTAGAACTCCTCCAGTTGTGAAGTGGAACAGTCCAGCGCTGCCTTTAGCTTCTTTAGCTTGGACGCCCCGGCTGCGATTCTGAGCAGCCCCTGACAAAACACACGAATAAACGAATAAACACAGTCACATCGCAAAGCAAACAAAAAGACACAAGCGGGCATTCAATGTGCGCACACAAGAGACCCTGTGCGCTCTCTGAAACCTACACACTCACTTCCCCCAACACTCAATTACAGATACTGTCCTTATAAATCCACTACGTACACCCCCCCCCCCCCGCCAGCTGCACATAATGAAACCTTAAAGCAGGCAAACAAACACACCCACCACTCGCAGCGCAGCACGCTCTTCACTTTGACGCTTAAACAAAGGCCATCGTCACACCATAATGACACAGGGAATGAATGCAGGTCGACAAATAATGTGCTTTGCAGTTAAAGCTCGCACACTGTAGCTCTTTTTTTTGTACACACTCTGACATGTACACACTCTGATTTATGAAGAGGAGACAAGTAGATTCTATTGTATTCTAAATTTGTACTAGGGAGGGACACATCATCACAAACATATAAATCTTGCACTGCAGCATAACGGCCGACAGTTTCTTTGGAACAGCGTTACAGAGACGCAGGAGTTTCCCCCCGTCTGTGGTTCGTCTATCAGCCCTCTCCTCGAGTCTCAAGACGTTCGTGTGAACAAAACAAAGTCCGAAGCTTGGTTTCAATTATGCCGCTAATCACAGCCACAGCTCCGTGTGACTTTTAATGAGCTATGCCAGCGCTTTCGTTCACTTACATGGCAAGAGAAGGAACACAAAAGGAACAGTGATGTCAGTTAAGCAAACAAAATGCGGGGAATTATCTTGGCGTTAGATAAGAAGTGACCTCTGAAAGAGGATCATCTGCTGATAAACAAAACATCTGAACATAATGTGCGTTCATATTTCTTTTCAGTTCTTTCAGTCTTTTGATTTCACTCGGCAGATCGATGCTTGCATCTTTCTACCCATACAGCAGAACGATCACGTAGGATGCTACGAACAGGGCGGTGTGGAGGATCATCTCTCCACATATTAACTTCTTTACCTCCTCCTTCATGCCGGTCTCTAGAAGCATCATGACGCAGGCCTCCATTGGCAGAGCGATCTCCCTTCCGCTCCTTTTCAGGTGTTCCTCCAGCCCAGTGCCGAATGCCGGCTTCTCTGTCCACGAGTCTGAAAACAAAGAGAGAGATTACTGGTGGAGAGGGAGAGGCAGTGATGCTACACTGTAATTGCATTTGCATTATTTCTGCTGTTGCAATCATTTTTGTGTATCGTCTAGCATGCCGGCATGCAACATAAAAGACTATTTCTTAAAATCAGCGCTGGCCCAGGACTTGGTGTGAACGAGCTTGTTGCTGGTCCAGATGGCAGATTTCTGGGTCAAAACCTCTCCCTGAGGCCAGTTCCCAACCAGTCACTCCCCCTTCAGGGTGCCGTCAAATAATAACCACATGCTCCTCCTCGTCCAGCAGGAGTGACTGTTCAGTCCTCTTTCTGTGTGTGTGTGTGTGTGCGCTAATGTGCTAGTGAAAAGGGTTGCAAAACCCAGGTGTGTGTGTGTGTGGAGTTCATGAGTCATTGCCACATGCTGGGAGACCAGGCTCGTCTGGTTTAGACCACATGTGTTTAACACAGAAAAAATAAAACAAGATCCCTTCTATAAGACCATCGTCACGGCTGCAAAAAAAAAAAAAAAAAAAAAGGAGGTATTATGTTTGTAAAATGGAACATTCGAATATTTTTGGAGAGCGGAGAAAACAAAAAGGCTATTCTTTTAAAAATCTGCTTCAATTAGCTTCTGGACATTAGAAAAACAGACCGGAGTGATGTAATCGAAGGGGACGGTAGCTGGTTTTATGTCCCCTGCCAATGTGAAGAGTGAACAGGAAAGTGTTCTCTGCTCCGAGCAACTACTTGTCAGCTCACCTTTGAGCAAGCTTCTCACACTTCTCCTGTGTCCAACAGGAGACGGTTTGTTTAAAGGGGATACCAAACAACACAGGGGCCACAGAAAAACAGGGGTAGTCACTCGGGGAAAAGGTGCATTCTTCAGGAAATGCGTATAGTGGTTCCATATTACGTACCGCACAGAGCCTTCTTGTACGTCTTATATTTTTGCAATGCTGTATTGTTTTTGTGTTCATAGCTGGTGTATGCATAAAGGCATGTTTTGCGTGTATCATACCTTGCTGAGCCTGGATGGTTGGCAGGACGTTCTCCAGGACAGTGAGAGACTTTCTGTGGTAATCGGCTTGAGCTTCTAAGAGCTGCACAAACAGAAACCACAGGGAGAGATAGACAAGGGCGAGTCGATGAAGATGAGAAGTAAAAGACATCGACCAGCAAAGGGAATGAGATAGCTGTCCAGCTCTGTGCTCCCCAGTTACTCATGCAAATACACCATTTTATGGCTTGCTGATGACACGCTGTACTCACTGTTACGAAGAAGCAGGCATAGTCCCCTTCCTTTGAGAAGAAACTATACATGTCTGCAGCAAGTTGATCCTGATAAAAAAAAACAAAGGAATTCATATCTTAATACAGTCACAATGTGCTTTACAATAAGAACAGTCAATGAGACAAAGTGCAGCTTTAGTCATCTCCACTACATTGTGTCGTACGTCAATTGACCGTGTACATTCGAGTGTGGCACAAGGGCAGACGTCAGTGGTCAGCTAAGCCGCTGGTCTGTGCACTACATGGGTCATAAATCCTCCTGCTGCTGGCAGCACTCAATGAGAGTGGGAGGGGAAACTTTTGCAGGGGAAACACAAGGCTCTGCACTTCCTGGATAGAAAACCTGACGCTTCACGCAGCCAGTGGTTCAGTTCAATAGATGCAAACACACACGCAGTGAGCTGACAGGGCATTTTCAGTGTGTGTGTGTGTGTGTGTGTGTGTGTATATGTGTGTGTGTGTGTGTGTGTATATGTGGGTGTGGGTGTGTGTGTGTGTGTGTGTCAGCAAACTGGGTCAGAGGGCCCAAGGGTCTTGGGAAGTCCAGTGGTTGCTGTGGTTATTCGTTTCCCCCAGTTTAAACATCTGATGAGACCTAATACCAGTTGCTTTAACTCTATAAATGCCCTCTCGTATGGCCTGCTATGATATTGATAAACAAGACTATAATAAAGTATTCTTATACAGACACACCCACTCATCCTTACTCATGCCGGTTACCTTGCAAAGCTCCACTTTGTTCATGGCCTCATCCATCTCCTCCTTGAGGAGGTCAGCCTTGGCCGTCAGTGCTTGAGTGTTTGTTCCTGAGATTATCGACTTGGTTGCCTGCAACCATCTGAGTTTGGAAAGACAAAAGGCACATTGGGAAATGTAACTGAGACTACCTGAAGTTGTTTTAAGTCCTCAAAACATCAACAAGTTCAACGCATACGACACGGTGAGAGAGACACGGTGAGCTGTGGATGGACAGACCTTGCTCTGGCAGAATCATAGTCCAGCACCAATTTGGCCAGCTGCTTCCTCTGCTTCAAGATGTTGGGAATGTCCAACTACAAAACATTACATCCATAACAGATACAAATTGAATGAGCCTGAGAAGTTAGAATGACAAAGATCTGACAATTGTTGGGATTGTTCTTCCTGGATGAGCCTTCTAATGGTAAATAATAGAAATACACCAACTGGTGGGGCTTTTACTCTTACTTCACTTTGTTGAGGAAGTGATAACTATAACATCGACACTTAAAGGCAGATATTTACTAAAGCAAGAGGTCTTGGCCCCCCTCCGAACCAAACAGCAGAGCAGCTGGTTAGGAGCAACAACAAGTGCAGGTGTACAAACAGGCCCAGATGCTAGGTTTTATGGGTACAAAGACACACATGTCTGATAGCCAACAGTTACTCGTGTTTGGAAAACCACAGTCTGTAACGACTGGATTGGAATCAGTTTTGTTTTTTTACTTCTCGTTCTCCAACCTCACTATATCGCAATAACACAACAGGACAATGAGAGATAAGATAAACAAATGCAAAAACGCGAACAAATAATCCATTCCACTATGATTAGCCCAAAGAAAGCAAATAGTATGTGTGTGACTGCACTTAAAAAACAAGCCAAGAGCCATGGAAGAATTTCTAATATTTCCCTTGAGCTGCCGTTGTGTCCACAAGGTGTGCGGTCTCTTACCTCTGCTAGCTGACTGAGAGGATCCAGAACATCCTTCTCTATCTGCAGCTCATGTTGCATCAGTTCTGATGCCAGGCGATTCTCTGCCTCGCCGCACACTTCCATCATCTTCCTGTTAACACACATATCAGCACAACGAGAGAGAGAGAAGGGTGTTAAAGTCGTTTTTTTATGCCCGATTATCACATCCTCACTATTAGGTGAAGGTGTGACATCCAGCGTCATAATCACACATCCTCTCCTGACAAGATACAACAACACAGAAGGATGACAATCTGTTCCAAGCTCTTCCTCTGTTCCAGTCGGTAATCGTCATCATGTCCAGCCTGGAGCACAGTGGCCTAGTGACAGCTCATCTTTTCGATCATGAATCACAGTGTTATTCAGGAATGAAACCCCCGAGCCTTGAAATACAAAAAGAACAACCCAGTCTAAGGCTGACAGACCACCTCGTGTACTTTCCCTTCCTCATTACTTTCAGACAGACACATGGCTGCTGCGTAGATTTAGGGAACTGCTGAAAGTCCCTGTCAAAGAGAAAACTGGAACGATTGCTCGCCCCGGGATGCACGGCCTCATATTTCACGCTCTCTGGGGGTGCATCTGCTCCACTAGCAACAGTTGCCAAGGAGGAGCAATTGTTTACGTGGCCTGTCACTCGATCGCAAACTCACCCTATCAAGGAGTCTTCTCCCAGTTGGTTTCCGCCTTCCACCATCGCCTGGGAGAGTGCGGTCAGAGGAAGCTTTTTCTGCGACACAGGGACAGATGCAGACAATGATTAGACTTCCATTGCAACATAAACCACTAGATATGCACAAAAAGGTACCCATTTCTATACAGTAGCTTCAGTATTTGATGTTCAAGCCAATGGAAAAGTCATCAAGGAATTTCCATTGAGCAGTAAATGCACAGTCAGGAAGAGGAAGAGAGCTTTCTGAGCACAGGAGGAAAATACAGATGTTAAAAAGGGATTTTAGATGCCAACTAGGGAAGTGAGACATCTATCAAACACTGGAGCTTGTTTTGTTTTTCTTACAGTTGCAGAGTTTACATCAGTGCAAAACATTTATGAGTGGGCAACATCCTGTTTTTTTACCAGAGAATCCCAAAGGCAAAAGTGTCATGCATAGAGAGTAAAGACGACAGACGTCTGAATGGGAAACGGGAGCGAGTGGTGGTGCTGAGAACCAGAGAGGTGGAAGAAGTAATCTGTGTTTTTACCTGACCATTTCCTGTATAGAGGCGTGGTACGGACTGTGGTGCGTTTTGTGGGTGGTGTGGGGTAGAAAACACAAAAGACAAATCATAGACTGCAGGCCTGCTACGGACACTTTGAATGAAAACATCTCAAAAAAGTTGCGTGGGAGGTGACATCAAAAAAATAATCATTACACATCCTGGGACAGGCGAATGATCTGGTTCGTTTTTTAAAAAAAAAGGTAAACTGCGGCTACGGTGACAAATGTTTCATTGCAACCAGCTTGATGACTCACATGTCTCTTCTCCGCGTCGGCACCGATGTGTCCCTGCAGACATGACACCATCCGCTTGTGTGTGTTGTGGGACACCACGCGCACCAACTCCATGCGCCGCTCGATCTGTGCAGACGACAAGAGATGCAAGTACGGATCTTTAGCATACGTCATCATAAGTCATCCCACAGCAAGGTGCAACAATGTATAAGCTGCAGGTTATACGAAGCCTTTGTGTTGTTAAAAGTTCAGCATTTGGTCGTGGAAACGTAGCTTTTTAAAAATGAAACCCAAGTACTACATCCTGCTGTGTTTGTTCCAGTACAAGTACACGGATACACACACACACACGGCACGCAGCCTTTAGAACCCCACCGTGTCTCTATAAAGCACCACGACACTGTGTCTGCAGTGTTGATGGCTGATGAGGTCCAGTTTCTCGCAGACATTTGATTTGTAGCTGCCTTGAGGGAGTCGGGGGTCAGAGTTCATGCATGATTGATAAGGCTTGTCCCCGCGGAACAATGCTGGAATGTTATCTTTGAAACACATGACTCATCGGAAGTGTCTCTGTAGCAACGGCCGCTGGGCTGTGACCGCGAGCGAGGGTCTCTTTGGGTTTGAACAGTCCTTTTTGGATTACACAGGCTTCCTCCTGTCTGCCAGCCTAACTGCACAGATCCACTCTGTGCAGTTAGGCTGACGAGAGATAATACTGTCATTGATGAGAGTCACAGCTATTCACGCTTAAGGACAGAGGCCGACTGAAACTCCGCAGGACGACTATTCGCTGTCCTTGTCGTGCCAGGTGCCCGACTGGGACAGTCAGTGTCAACATTAGGCCGGCTGTCACTTCCCCATGAATAGAGCCGATGACTGAAAGTTACCGTTCGAGTCTACTTAAAAGTCGGACGATGCGAAGAAAACTGGTTTGAGTTGGCAGCGCTTGTGAGAAAGTCAAAAGCAGGTTGCATGCGCCGCTTCCGAAACAGAACAGGTGTGTCTTCAGTTTTTTTTGAAGACTAAAAAGCTAAACTGGCGAGAGAAAGGAGTGGTCTACAAGTGTCTCAAAAGGGACAGACATGTACTAAAGAGCTGGGACAAACAATGTTCCAAATATAAATGGGAACATCGAGGTCTCAAGGGCAAAACAAATTGAGCAGAAATGGAGGAAGACAAATGCACAGGGAGGGTCAACCAAAATACCAGACAATTGTGTTCCAGAAACAGAACGGAGTGGGATCTCAGGAATTCCTTCTGCAGATATCGGCCTTCCGAACGCCACCCCCCTCCCCTACTTTCCCTCCCGCTGACGTCATTCCCGACCCATGGTGGCCCCCAGCATTCCCCAAACAGCTGGGTCAAATCTAAACTTGCCAAACACATGCATACACACACACTTCAATAAGCTATAGGCTTGGGAACACTTGTTAGACGCAGCCCGGTTAGTACCTGGTACTGAACGAGCAGGGGATTCCCCTCCCTGTGCTCTAAGTGGGACGAAGTTCCCCGTGTGGGCGTACTGGTAAGGTTTGGGTTACATGGCACTGGGAGTATTCTTCTTCCTTCCATTGTAACAAATTGGGGTTAGACCCACAACACCGTACAGTCCGAAAAAATGAAATATGCGAAGGAGTGCGTGTTAAGGGTGCGTGTTTTTTCTTCCTCCCGCTATGTGATGAGGTCAACACTTGGTCAATCCCATGATGCGTCATAGAGCAGGGAATCCCAACACGGAGTTGGATAGACAGGGAGGAGACAGACAGAGAGGGTGTCTGTCTTTTTGCCTGTGTTTGTTTATTGGTTCCTAAGAGAGGATGTTAACACGTCTGGACAAGAACAGAACGAACAAAAATAGCACAACATGACGCAGTAAGTGTGGAATCATGCGGTGCCAAAAAACTAAATACCCTTTGTTTGTATTAGGGATGTATTGATAACAACAGCTGGTTGCCACCTTATACAATGCTACACCCAACTAAAGAGGCTGCATGCAAGCAGGCACCCGTATTACTTTTTAGGTGGAAGTGATTAAAGGAAGATTACACTGAGTGAATTAGAAGAAGAACGCTGGAGGTTGAGGGGGAGTAAGTACACCAAAACTAAAAGTCAAAAAATAGCTTGCATATAAACACTGCATGAATATTCCAGGACAAGGATAAACTGTCAGTTTTAAGTGTGAGGAGCGACACAGTTATCGGAAGAATTAAGGGGTTGAGTGATTTCCACCGCTCCATCCCTCACTGCCTTTTCCTTCATCGGTTCCTGTGAAGTGGGAAACAAGAGACTGCAAAGAGTCTCACGGATTTCCAGACAGAAGCGGAACGATTGTTCAAAGTCTCACTCTGATGTCCTAGCTGTCACTTTTGCCCATATTCACCTCAACACCTGAGACAGAAGACGGCGTTAAAAAGTTGTGTCAGCGCTGTATGCTTATGCACCACCAGCTACAAAAAGAGGGTGGGGAGAAGAACAACAACAATAAAAGGCATCGTGGCCTCGGCTTGTTGTCACGGAGTAATGCCGAGTTTGTTTTAACACCTATGACACCTTCCCCTTCAAAACACAAAGACTATCTTCATCCCTGGAATGTGTTCGCTGAGCAGCCGATATTTTGTTCCAACCAGCTGTCTGCCCCGGGGAAATCCCTGCACCAGCATACGTAGAGCTTTATAGATTATGTAACATATATATATATATATTATATAGATAAGCACAGCGTCACTGATCTCTGTGCAGCTTGTTGAGCCCTTGGTGTTACTACAGAAGTGTTTCTCAACCATGTGTCCCAGACGTTTGCATGTCCTAATTTCAACCCAGTGCTACACCCACTGATTAGCAATCTTCAACCAGAGAGGAGGCTCTAATAAGTGCTATCAGCTGCTGTTTGGCTGGCATGGAAACCTGCATTCTTTATTTTGGCCTCGGTCAGCAGCACGTTGTCCAGCTGCTCATTAAGCTTCAATCCGACTCTTTCCTGCCAAATAAATCCAGTCGGAATGTTGCACGTTATCAGACGTGCTCACTGCTTTTGGTGTTTGTTCTGCATCCAGTACCAGTCATGTTGTAATATGAAGATAAGTGAACTCAATGCACAGCTGTAGCAGAAGTTTCCTGGGAAAGAAGAAAAAGTCTAACAGGTGTTGAGAAGAGAAAATTACAGGTGGTAACACTACAAGCATGGAGATAGGCTCGCCGTCGCTGAGCATGACGACGTTTGACCTTTTGTAATTATTTAATTTAACATACATAGAAATAGTTTACGAGGTATTTTGAAGCAAAAACTATCCATGGACAGTAACTGCAGCCACTGCCTACCAGCCATTGCAGTGTTAAGAGCTGCTCAGAGCTCTCCGGTCGGATCAATGATTTACCTGTAAGAGGTCATCGCTGAGGACTTCTGTTTTCTCCGCTCTGTGGGTGAGAAAAGACAACAGAGAGCACACAGGTTAGCGCCGACAGACTACCAGAGCAGATAAGTCATTTGTACATCAACGCAGTGTGCAGTCACAGTGAAAATATCCGCCAGACAAATGACACCACTGATTAAAAAGACTGGTTTCCACGCTCAGTATTGAAGTGGGCATCCAAGAAAGGGTGGGTCTCTTTAGCGTGTTGCCATGGCTCAACCGGCCACGCAACAAGCCGGAGGCAACACCTGTCTGTCTTCCGACTGCACAGTTAAGCTAAATCACACAGGAGGAGAGTGTTCATTTCTTTAAAAGCCACCGCTAGCAAGGCTCAGGGTGTCGTGCACAGAGTGGCCAATGCTATGCAGCTCTGCTCTGCCTGAGCCTATTAATAGCAAACTAATAGTTGGACCAGAAGAGGTCGGATAGATTATTCACTCAAAGGGAGAAGGCTGGGAAACACAGGCTGAACTCATATTGCTTATCAACACCTCCGCACACTGGCTGATGGCTTCTGCACTGCAGTCAAGTGGGTCAAGATCGTTCGCTTGCAACTGTGAGAAAAGAAACGCTGCCCTAGATCGCGGTATATTTGCAGACAAACACTTTAACACGGATTATAAAAGCAAAAACATCCAACTACGTCAATCCAACTTTTACTCTATTGATACCAACTCTGATACTACAACTCAAGGATAATGCCAATATGACATGAGGCCATGCTTCAATGCTTTGGAGCTAAAAACTGAGTTGATGGCGAGCCGTAACTTAAGGAATATATCCGATGGCGGAATATTTGTATGCTATTAATGCAGAGACTGCATCTAATGCCGGTCAGCTGCTACACGACGCTCTTAAAAAAACGTCTGTATTGCCTCAGATATCTCGGTGCAAACCTAAGAACTTCCATCTTTTTTTTTTTTTATTGTCATACAGCAAAACAACGATTTAAAAAAATGGCGTACAAGAATAATTTCCCAAACACGAGACAGTACGTTTCATTAAAATAGAATTATGTGTTCGATTTTTATAATTACCCTGAGAGGAAGTTGAGTGTTGCATATGATAATTACATACATTTATATATAATGTGGAATAAACTTTCTCTATTTACTGTTACGCAAAATGAAGACTGTGAAGGTATTGTTGTGTCAAGTTCAGCCTTCTGACTGAAGAGACGTGTATACAGTGGCTTGCCTACATTTTGGGCAACTGGAACTTTTAACGCAACCCTCCTCCAAAAAAAACTGCTCTATGAACTATAGTAACCTCGTCCCCAGCTGCTTTCAATTACAACACACAGGCAGGGAGAAACAGAAAGAGACTGACAGAGATGGGATGATAGTTTGGGGGGTTCGAAGGAAAGAAATACAAATACATAGATTTTGGGGGTGGGGTGGGGGGGGGGGAGGTTAAAGACTCCTAGAAGTGCCAAAACAGATTAATCTAGAGAGGCTGGGGATGAATGGAAAGATTTCCTCTGGAGGAGAGCCATAGCCAAGCCAGGGAGTGACTGAGGACCTAATAACCCACAGACAAAACTTCCAGCTAGCTGCACAAACACACACACACACACATTGCAATGTGCACACGCACGTACAGAGCGTGATTATAAAGCCACAATATGGAATCCATGTTCTGGTGATGTCTACATGCTGAAGAGCTCTTTATGTGGTCCTGTCAGGGGCCTAGTCTTTCAAACCAGTGTATTCATCAAGCAGGCTTATGCTGTCATGAATACACGACTGTGGATCACACACCGCCTGTGCAAATTGATCCTTCGCCATGTATGCGTGGACACAGAAGAGCTCGACTTCCCCCATAACCTTGGTTATCGAGGTGCTAGCGGGACATATGTCTGAGGGGTTTTTGGCAGATTACAGGATAAATCCAACTGGGACTCTAGCTGAAAAAATGGAGCAACATTAACTGGATTTTCACTATTAATTGAGCTCTGCTTACTTACGACAATGTGAGCCGGAAAAAAACCTTTAAGTGTTTTTATGACATTTGCAATTACTGCCCTAACCCGATTATAACTGAATGATCACGTGAAGACACGTATGTATACTGTATATGTATAAAAGCAACACTTGTGTGAACCAACCCCGAAAAAAGCACCGTGTCACAGGGGCCCAAAAAAAGAAAAAAAGGCCGTGAGGACGAGCAACAACAAACAAAACAATTGTTTCGCTGACATCAGCTGACCCGGAGCGAACAGAGCTGACCCCGTCGGGGCCTCGTCGAAGCCGCGGCCTTTAGAGAAAGTGTGTCACGTGACTTCTCGTAACAACACGAGAGGCTCGCCGCACTACATCAGAGTGGTAACCATGGCGATGGACTATTAAAGTGGAAGGGGAGTAAGTGAATACCGCCGACATAAGCACAATAGAGCGGCTGTTAGCGGGCCACTCGACACAATCAGCAGGGCTGAGAGGTAGGGAGGGTCGGCGTCTAGCGGCAGTTGGCAGCTTAAGGCACAAGGTAATGGATACTGCACCCAGATGAAAGGAGCTGGGAGTGGAACCGACTGACTCAGCTCATACAACCTCCGTAATGTGGCTGATTATGAGAGCTGTTCAGCAAACATCGGTCCAGGGCAAGAACGAGCAAAAACGTGGGGATAAACACTGAAGGGCTTTTATCAAATGTGTATTGTTGTGGTATAGAGATGAAGCGAATCTAAGCCAAACCTGTCCGGCATGTCAAAGCTGGACGCTTCCTTCTTGGCACAATGTTGCAACAATTAATGAATGAGAAATGTGCAAACAAAAGTCAATCGTAGTTTCCCAACACACCCCATGAAATGGTTTGTTTTGTCCAGAACCTAAATGATATTTAGTTCACTATCACAGAAGATATATTGATTGATAGAGGACTCCAACGGTTAACCAATTATAAAAATGATTGTCAATTCATTTTTATCAAATTGTTTCAGCTCTAGTATCGTGAAAATGTATAATGATCACCACCGCCCACTAGCACATCCTTCCTGTAACGGAGGTGAATTATTGTGATCCACATGATTAAATTCTCGTCCTCATTTTTTGCCGTGCCACACAGGTATCCCACCCTCTTTGTCCCCAGAGGCCCCGGCCTGGTGAGACACGGGGGGGGGGGGGGGGGGACGCCCGGTGTCGCCTGTCCTCGTTAATTCAACAGTGACATGTTGCTGATCCCTGTGGGGAGAGCGTCTTTTCAACACGACTCCATCTCAAGTGAATCGAGGACTTCCAGACACAATAGGTCTCTCTGCGCTAGCGAGACTGTTGCTGTATCAAATAAGGATTATATAACGCAACTGTTGACACTTTGCTGTTAGACAGTTATTGTTACCGTTGGACAGGTTAGCCGTTTCCAGTACTAATGCTAAGCTAATGTGTGACGTCATATAGAGGACCCTGAGCAGATCTTCCAGGCCTAGCACCTGCACTAGCTCCAGCTTCGTATTCAACCGACACATTTGAGAGTTGGATCGATGTGCTCGTCCAATTCTCCACCAGAAAGCGAATTTCCCAAAACATCAAACTATTGCTTTAATAAGCTCCTACTGTATGAAAATTACATTATTTCTACTGACGTTAGCAGGCACTCGCAGTGAGGCATCCCGCGCATGTGACTAAATGTCACCCTGAAATGATTGAGTGTGACTATTTTTATGTTAGCTCCTTTAAAAAGGTGTTACCATCTAACCACTGCAGCATACATGTATATAAGGGGCCAGAGAGTTCAAAAGATGGCAAACTAAAATATGCTTCCGCAAAGACATAAAAATCATTGTTATGTTCCCTGGCATGAGTCACGTGCACCTCAGTTTCACTCTCCACATCAATCTCCCCAGATGTGTCTCTCCCGTTCTCTAGAAAACACCAGCACGTCTCTGGGAGGCAGCTTCCTGTTTGTAGAAGAAGAAGGAGAGACTTCCTCAGAGCGGCTGCTCGCTGGACACAGTGTTCTGCCTTTGCACAATCACAGGAACCCAGGGGGCAGCGGAGAGGGCCTCTGTGATCCAAAACCTTTTTTTTTTTTATTTTTGCAGACGCCGATGCACGAGGCCGGCATTGAAATTAATGGACAAAGCAGAGCGTGCTCGCTCGCCCTAATCCAAACGCTGACAGGTCACTCGTTCAGAAGATCGTGTATACGAGGGCTGGACGCTACTTGTGTACACACAGAAGAGCTAGCAACCACTGCACGCACACACACACACACACACACACATACGTCTGTTTTCTGCATTACACTCTCCAGTTCTAATTTACTGCTGGTGCACAGCAGGGAGGAAATTATGAGTATTCCAGCTGCGCCCCAAGTAGCAGAAACTTTCTTCAAAATGTTTGTTGCTCTGATGACGGGCAATAGCCCAAACATTGTGTTATAATAAATAAATAAGAGCTATATTTTACTGCAAAGCAAATGTTGTGCCTCTTTTTTTTCCCCTTGGTAGTAGTGCTGGGCGGTATAACCAGTTCATCCGGTATACCGGTTTTAATTTCCCGTATGATATTAATTTTTCACACACCGCCATGCCATACCGGTGCATAGCCGAAGCAACTGCTGTCACTCTTCATCAGGCAGCAAAATATAATGTTCGCCGTCAAGGGCTCAACGGTCAGCACTAGTTCTTTAGAGTGTATTGAGAGGGAACCCTAATCATGGTTATAACTTTATAACACAACAATTAATAACCCACAACTAACGCTCTTTAACAGGGCAAAACACCACGACACAACAGTTTATGACACAAAACAATTTGTAACACTAATAATTGTACATTTATAAAATTACACCGCCGAACAGCATGCTGGGTACAGCTGGGAGAGGCTCCGTCTCTACAGTAACGTTACATTAATGAACAGAACAGAGCGATGCAGGATGAACAATGACAGACCGGAGATGCATCGATAGAGTCTGTGCCCAAGAGAGGAGCTGGGTCTGCTGTTTGGAAGTGTTTTGGTTTTTAAAAATCCGACGTAAACCAAAAGACTATATATTGCAAAGTGTGTCGAGCCGCTGTTGTCGCCGCTGGTGGTAACACGAGCAACTTACTCCATCACCTCAGCAGAAAACATGAGTTGGAATACCAAGAGTGTAACGTTATGCGATTACGGTCGTCGGATTCGAGGCCGTCAACCAGTAACGTTAAAGCGAGTGAAAGAGTGAGTATATTCTATGTACTCCTGACAGTAGAGTTAGCCACTATAAACCTATATAAAAACACGGTCAAGGAAAAAAATACCGTGATATACCGTTAAACCGCCAGAATCTTAAAAAAATACCGTGATAGAAATGTTTGGTCATACCGCCCAGCACTACTTGGTAGTTTATTTATTTTTATAGCAGCACCTTGTCCTCAGCATCATGTGTTCCCTTTAGGGCGATATGAACTGCAGGAAAAGCAACTACAAAAGGCAACTGATGTTCCAGGGGAATATTTCATGCTTCTGAATGTGGAAACTATAATCGATGTGGAAACGCTGCCTCCGCCCATTTAAAGATGACACACTATTGTTTCCAGCCTGTCGGCAGCTTTACCTGGTACCGTCCACTACTCGGGTGCACCTGCTGTCCACCTGAGGTACCACTGTTTGGTACCCATGTACACACACACACAAGCACAAAATACACATGCACACAGAACGCCACACATCATGAGAGCCGACCTCTCGTGATGAGAACATCCTCTGGCGTTTCCACACAAGGCCAGGCTGAAGCCATCGCTACTTTAGATATCCGCTTACAGAGGGACAGTGTGTGTGTGCCGTCACACACCAGCACAGTGGCACTAGTTCACCAGCCCCAACACTGCAGAATGCTTTCTCTTTTGTTGTTCATTCACTTAATAGCTTAGGCACTGCGGTGTGTTACAAGTTCAGATGGAGAGAATGCTCGGAGTGGAGGCAGACAGACACTTATCCATCACATTAATCTGTTTTTATATGTTTTAAGTTGGATGCCTGGTTGAAGCCGAGCGTCTCGTGTTTCACAAATGGAGGAGGCTCATACAGCCACTTTATCAGCTACTGAGTGAAAGAGAACATTATGGTGGAGAGTGCATCACAGAGTGCAGAACAGCTCATCCGCCCGCTGCAGCACATTAGTCCTGTTACAAATCTCAGATATCAAATAAAATACGGATTGGTGCATCCCTGCCTTTGGCCACATGCCCTACTGTATGCTCTCCTAAATCCATCAGACATCCATCTCCTCTACACGCTTTGTGACAGCAGAGTTAAACCTTATGATGAAAGAAGGAGACCCGGTCCAAAGGAAGGAGCTCATCACTGGGCTCCTGGCAGTGCTGCCACGGCGTGGATGGCTCATTCAGTCTTCTGAGGAGGACATCTGGTTGGGTTCAGACAGCAAGGAAAGCATCCCCCCACACATCCAGATTGTTAAATCAACAGTCAAATCCTTAAGCCTGGTTGTCACCCCTTAAACACGACTCATTCATTCATGAAAGACTGTCGTCACAGTCTGCGTGCAGCAACTGATTAGATTAGTTAATGTGATTTTCTCTTCTTTTCTCTTCAACATCCCACTGCCACAAAGTTAAGGACAAGTATTCTTAAACAGAAGACTTTAAATGACCAAAATAAAGTGTGTTGCTAGTTCTCTGGTGAGCAGTAAACAACGCTGACTTCAATACTTGCCTGCCAACTGTTTGATTGGCGAGCTGTTTCATCCGATTGAACTGCTTCTTCATTTTCGGTCCCTTGCCAGTCTGGTTCTTTCCGAAGTGAACGCTTCAAAGCCGGGGCTTTTGGCTTGTCATGAAGTTCCCCGGGGCCTCTCCCCGTTTTAATTCTCCGAGCTGTCGCTGTGACAGGGAAAACAAGCAGGAGCCATTGAGCCCAAAAGCCAATTAAAAATAGTTTGTAGCCTCGCTAGCTCCCCTAAGCTAGCCTTTCCCAAGTGGAGATTCTAGAGAAAAAGTTCCCGTCGAGGCGACGGCATGATCCGAGAACCTCCTTTTGAGTGTGTTTCCGTGCATGAACGGCCCTGACCAACTTTCACCGGCTCCAGCAGTGGCTTCTCATGGCTCGTCTCGGTTGCTGCCTTTGACCCGTTAGCCGACGAGCTAACGTTACCGAGCTGGATAATCCGAGTCGGCGGCTTTCTCCCAGAGCAGAGCAGAGCAGAGAGCCGAGTGAACAGCAGCAGCGGCTCACCTCTGTCACTGAGAGAGGGAGGGAGAGGGAGAGGGAGGGAGAGGGAGAGGGAGGGAGAGAGAGGGAGAGAGGGAGGGAGAGGGAGGGAGAGAGGGAGGGAGAGCATCTGCCAGACAACACCACCTCCCTCTGGACACTGACGGGAGAAACCCGCTCACACATGAAGCTAGAAAACAAAACTGTACTACAATAACAAAAAGTGCCACTGTTAAAAAATACTGACTTTACATAAAAATGAATTTGTAATGTAGCTTGTTGTTCTGCCTGCAGAGGACAACACTTCAGAGTAACATGTATTGTGCATTAACTTATCAAAATAAACCCTCTACTCCACCTGCTGCTGTAGGTAAACAGGCGAAACCCCATTTGATGCAAAAGCAGTCAGAGATCCACATGTAAAAGAAAATTGTTTTAAATGCAAAAAATAATATGAGCTCATCACATTGCGTGGGAGCAGATACTTTGTTGCATTGCTACAAAATTGATCAAAACCATTCTTTGAAATATATCATGCCTCCAAATAAAAAAGAAACAGTACTTTATATTTAAACAGTGCATTCATACAGTATAATCGGTCGCAAGAGAAGAAGTCAGATTTATTTTTTTCCAATATATTTTATAGTCTCCAGTGCAAGCCACAAACTATGATCATCTCCAAACACTAAACAGTTTTAAATTGTTAATCCATCCACATAAATCCATTATGAAGCAGGCTAAAGATAAGCAGATATTATATAGATTAACAAATAGTTTGACGCTTCAAACACTTTTTGTACACTTTGTTTATCTGAGATTTTTATCCTTAGTCTATGGTATAAAATACTGGAAATTCTGTTATTTTCTAAGATAAAGTGCCTTGGAAAACATATACGTTTACGTGAAACAAGTAGGCCTATTAGTACAAGCCCACATCCTTTTTGCTGTAAGGCAATAAGGCTACACTGGCCCTTAATGGCATGCAACTCAAGTAACTGATGCAGTAAAAGGACTGAGACTCTGTCAGAGGCCAAATGCACTATGCTTCTGCAAGATCGAAGATATAGATCCTTACGCTTCTCAGCTGGTTGTCAACTTCCCAACTGGGATATAAATCTCTATATCTATAAATATTTGAGACACGTTTTGTGTACAGCCATGATGTGCAACATACATGGAGCACATAATATGATATTGTATATGCCTGTAGGATTCTGCATGTGGCTGTTCAGAGCTGAGGTCTTCCAAAATTCTCTGCCGCAAGCTTTACAGCTGTATGGTTTCTTTTTCCGTGGATTCTGAAATAAATGTTTAATAAAGCTGCTGAAGTTATTCCCACAAGGAGGACAAGTCCCTCTCTTTTTCATGTGACTCTGCGTGCATCGGGCATGCATTCCTAAGATGCCACAAAGTGATTCTTGATTTTCGGAGTGACATATGGTGTCCTTAATGAGGTTGGCTTTGTATTGGCAGGATTTCCACAGACAATTTGTGAGGAAATGAGACTGAATGGCTTAGAATTCCATATTTCACATGGGACTTGATGGATGTCCTGTCACTCCCCTCCTTTGTAAATGCCCTCTTTTAACTCCACTCCACGCTAATCTTCAGAATAAAACAGATGAAAGTTGTTGGCTGGCTCTCGCGCATCTTATCCAGGCGCATATTTCACTGGTTTAGTTGATTGATGTCTATTTAGCAGAATCGCATTTTCTAAATTCTGAATTTGGATTGGGATAACTTCTAGCACAGAATACCAGAGCAGTAAACTATCCTGGTTTAAATGTAAAAAGGCGTTCAGGAACGAAAGTGATCCTAAACAAGTGTCTGTAAGAAAAACTCCACTAACCATCTGTCTGTTTATTGGTAGATTTAATGACATTGTTTGTCCATTTCAGCCATTTAAGCCTGGCATGGCTAAACCGGCCTATTACCTGTCTACCAAAAGAAGATGCTCAGTGCAAAACACAGGAAAGAGCACCGATGGAGATTCTGTGAGTGTAGCGGTGGGTTTAATGTATTCGTGTGCTCAATGAGAACCTCCGCAGTGATGCTTTTAATCTGAAATATGCTAACCGGAAGTGTTTGTAATGGAGTCGGAACTGTTCCAACGTGTCTAACGGCGAGTTGTCCCTCGTAAAATACCGCTCATTTTCATCCAACTCATTGTTTGTTTACTATACACAAGTACCTGAGCAACCCGACCAAGCTCACAGCTTCATTCTTCATTCGTACTCGTCTTGTTAAATAACCTCACCTGTCAAAAACGAGTTAGCCCGTTAGCTTGTTTTTAGCTAGCCAGTGGAGAGCACAGGTGGACGAGGTTATGCAGCGCATACAGTTTTAATGTGGACAACATCACGTTACGACGAGGATCATTAATGGCAGCCCGGCAACCCTTCACAGACTCGGATACTGCCGATGAAGCAGTGAGGGCGACCTGTGACGATGCAACCATATGCAAAAGGTAACAGCAGGGAGTGCTGCAGCACAGTATTATTATTTAACCTTACTATTGTATGGCTTTAACTGCTTCACGTTAAGGAGACTTAGATTGAAGAAGCGAAGGAGTTAATGCGCATTAAAGGTAATGCTTCATGATACTATTACGTCATAACTACAGGTAATCAAGCTGCAAAGTGGTAATGTACAGTAATGCCCAATAACTAACGTTAGCACACAGAGCAACATGGGTCTCCCATGTATGGATTAGACCACACCAGCAAAACAGAAAATAGAGCAGAAGACTGCACAGATCTGCAGAGCTGGGTCTTGATCCTTTGTGCTTACTTCTTGTTGGTTAATTCAAAAAATCCTATTCTAGGTTTGCTACCAGTAAAGGCTACTGGAAGGACCCCTATATCCAGTATTTCGTAAGATCTGTAGGGGAGCGGAAGGCACCAGAAATCAACAGAGGTAAGTGATGCAGCCTCTTCTTTCACATGCATTTCTTAAGCCTAGTGAAGGCAGTCATGCAGTACAAGTTATTACATTCATAAACTGCACTACAAGTCACTGGATCGGCAGTGCATGAGATGAATAGTCTGCAGCAAGTCCCTCATTCGCACAACACTGCAGGGTTGAAAGACTGTGTGCAGTGCATAGAGTAAGGACTGTTCATGTGAAGTATCCCATGTTTGTGTTTTATTAGCTTATTTTACCTTCCTCTTATCTCATTTTGACAGGTTACTATGCCCGCGTTCAGGGAGTTAACCATCTCCTTGATGCATTTATACGGAAAGCAGGGTGTGACTGTCAAGTAATCAACCTGGGTGCTGGACTGGACACCACGTTTTGGCGACTTAAGGTTTGCAGCATTGCAGCGACTAAATGTGACTCACCATTGTGATGTGGTTTCTGATGCTGTTTGATTTGACTCGGTGGCATCACGTACACTTAATCATCTTCAAAGTATTATCCAATGCACAGACCTTTACTGTGTGTGTGTGTGTGTGTGTGTGTGTGTGTGTGTGTGTGTGTGTGTGTGTGTGTGTGCGTACACTATAGGATAAAAACCTCATGCCAAGGAAGTTCTTTGAAGTTGACTTTCCAACAGTTGTCGCCAGAAAAATACACAACATCAAGTAAGACAACCGTGCAATTATTATATTTATCATAACTATTAGTGTTATAGTTTATTTTTATACATACATTAACCAAATCAGCCACAAGCTTCCCTGATAGATCTGAAGATCTGGTTATTATGGTTATATATTATGCAATGTGTAACTGCATAAACATGCATTGATGAGGGAAATCAAGTATAGTTAGTATCACTGGTATTGTAAGGAAGTACATTAAGAAGTATAATATATATTTATCATGGCTTTGGTATTGCAATTTGGGGTTGAGCTCTGTAGAGGGAGACACAGCTGCATTTACAGCTGTTGTACAAAAGAATTGAAGGATCAGTCACAGTGTGTTTGTACTGTACGAAATCCTTACATGTATGTATGGATTTATTTTTTGGGGCTGTTATTTACATATATATGTCTATTATATGTAAATAACAGCTACCAGTATTTAGACTAAGCTCTTTATAAGTGTGTGTTTAAGAATAGTTAAGTCAGACACATCTTGTATACGGCAGTATAAGTGCAATATTATCACATTTACTACCATGGAAGCTAAAAAAATATAATAAATGTAAACTATTTTCTTTGACTAGGACAAAACCGCCTCTGTCCAAACCCCTCATCGAAACCCACTCAACAGATTCCTTACTACTAGGTAATGAGCAAAAGTTCCATTCATTACATAACACATCTACAGTGTGTGGTTCAGCTCAGAACATATTCCTGTGCGTCTCTTTAGTATCTTTTCCAACTTCTTCTCTTCGCTCAGATGCCCACAGCCTCGACTCAGACCGGTACTGCATCATCGGGGCGGACCTCAGAGACATCTCCAGTTTGGATGAAAAGCTGAAGAAGTTCCAGCTTAATCCAGAGTATGTGTGGATGTGTTTCACTTTCACTGCCGTATGTGATGCTGCAGATGTTGTGTTTTTACAAACAGTGAGCGACATTTCCTGGATAATCTGCCTTTAGCCGCATTTTGAGACTTTTGCAATCCACTGTAACTGACATGAGTTAGAGAGTATCTGTTTTTATCGGTAGCAGAAGACCAAAGCACATGTCTATTTCATCGTAGTTTGATTGCACAGACATGCTTTCTTGTATGTGTTTTTTTTATTTTTTTATGGCCCCATAAAAACATAACCTACTCATTATTACCTGTTATTTATCTAGGGAAGTTTGACAAAGAGCGATGCTATCTTTTTCAGGAAGCCGCCAGATGTGAATGTGATTTTACGTTCTAGTCTTTTATTGTTTAATATTTGTTTTCTGCCTACCGACACTAAAATTGACGCAAAAATGTAATATTCCTCTGTGAATATGATCGATTTTGTTGTGTAGGTAGTTTTAAGATTATACTCAGCATAACAGTTAGACAAACTTAATGGTTTGATAGGTTGAATTAAAGTTTTATTGTTTTCTACTGGATGAAAAACAGTAAATCATCTTTGCTTTGACACATTTCTGGATCCAGAGAACAGAGTGTGCGAGTGAGTGCTTTCCTGTTATGTTGTTGTGGTAAAGTGTACTTCTGCCACTCGCTCGCAGATTACCTACATTGCTGCTGTCGGAGTGTGTGCTGGTCTACATGACGCCCTCCCAGTCCTCCAATGTAGTTCACTGGGCCGCGGAAACCTTCCACACCGCCATGTTCATCAACTATGAACAGGTAAACAAGACAAATGACTTCATCCAGGTACAGCACAGCAATACACACCTTATGCAAGTGTCTGGCCTAACTTAAGGCTCCAACCTCTCGACATGATCTGTGCGTGCAGGTGAACATGAGCGATCGATTTGGCCAGGTGATGATCGAGAACCTGCAGCGTCGCCAGTGCACCCTGGCAGGAGTGGAGGCCTGTCAGTCTCTGGACTCTCAGGTAGCCTCCAGCACTCGAACTCGATAGTTCACAACCAAGACGTTGTGGCTCTGTGAGGCTAGTAACCTGTCAAGTCCAACATGTATGAATGTTTTTGAGGATCAGCAATGTGTTTGAATGTGCGGTGTCTGCAGAAGGAGCGCTTTCTGAAGACAAGCTGGGAGCATGCTGATGCTCTGGACATGATAACGGTCTACAGTATGCTGCCCCAGGATGACATGGAGAGGTAATGCATGTAGTACTTAGTATTAAATCCAGTTGTCTTAAAAGCTACGGTATTTGTCACGTATACACTGAAAGGGCCGGTGTGTAGGATTTCGGGGGATCAATGAGCAGAAATAGAATATAGTATTCATAACTGTGTTTTCATTATCATCACCTGAAATAGTGTTTTGTTAATGAGCCCTTAATATCTACTTAGGGAGCAGGTCCTTTTCACGGAGTCTGCAAAGATGTTATCGTGTTGCATTATGGGACGTGTAGCATCCAGATTTTTGGAGATTAAACCATAGGAACTATAAGTCAGGGTATCTCAGCCTCTGCGACATGAATGTTGGCTGATTTTAAAGATCACATTCCTGACCCGATGGTGAAATAGTTCTTTTTCTTTCTTACAGAATTGAGAGTCTGGAGTTCCTGGATGAGAGGGAGCTGTTGCAACAACTGCTCCAGCACTACAGTATCTGCTGGGCCACCAAGGACAAACTCAATCTGGGTAACGCGCATGTTATGTTACAGTTCCATGGGAATGAACGGGCATGTTGACCGTAGTTAGGAAATATGACACTATGACGGATCAGTTCCAGGATCATCTGCACCCATTGTGGCGCCATGCTGTCCGTCTTTACTTTGTGTTACTAATATGTGTTGGGCGTTTTATATTTCCACCCATCCTCTCAGTTTGAGTGTGTGGTGTGGTCACGTAAAGGAACAGGTCATCCTCTGTTTCCTCAGGTCTGTCACAGTTGGCGTATTGAGTGTGAAATTGCGCCGCCGTCGGACACACTTTACACGCGTCTGTGCCAAAATCAACAAGAGGAGAAGATGTGCGAAGGGAGATGTTGGGAAAAGAGGAAGCCCATATTCTCCACCTCCCCCCCCCTCCCCCCCCCCCCCCCCCGTCGACGACGAGCTGTTCCGGTGCAAAAACTCCCGGCATCAGCAGAAAGTGATTTGACGAGCGTCCTGTCTTACCCCAATCCACGTCAACGATAAGATCACGATGAGTGCTTTGTAGAGGTTACCAACTGTGAAGTGGAACAAGTTTGTCTTTATTCATTTGCTGACAGACATTTTTGTTTATGCACTTAAACGAAAATATTGTTTCAAAATCTGCTCACCTGTGTTGGATATTGACGAAAGTATGACGTTTTCAGACGTCCTTTTCTGGTGTTTATGTGCCATTTAGATTTAATTTATGAATCAATTGACTCATCTCCTTACAAAACATACATACATGCATGTGAAACTAGTTGCATTGCATCTACTGGTTCATTTACATTTGCCCATAAAATGTTTTTTATTCTTGAGCCTGGTTTTCAAACAGCAAAGAGGACGTGACAGATTAGTCTGTGATGGATTATATTCGATGGATGATGTTCAAGTGCAGTTGAATAAAAATGTCCTTTTGTGTAAGACTGCGTTGCTCTGTTCATTTGTGTACCTTTGTTATGGACTGTATTTATGGACTATTATCAACTTCTTATCTAGTTTATCTGCAGTGGGAGGGACAAGCGGATATCATTATGATAAGCTGTGCGGGTGTTTGTGTGTTCAGTCATACTGTGAGTACTGTTGTGTAAGGATTGTGTTGTAAGCATCCATACCTTTATGGTCACGGATCACACGACTGCTTGTATGTGAAAGGGTTCCCTCGTACTGATGAACACACTTTAAACGTCCAAATGACTTCAGTTTTAATCAGCTTTTAGTTTTCCGGCTCACAACTTTACTGCTTAGGTTGACTCTCACCGCTCTCATCAGTGTTGTGTTTCCAGCAGCAGAAAGCAGCAGATATTAAAAATGTTAAAAGCAGAGTGAACACAGGATCTCTATTCGTCAGGTGGCTAAAATACAACTCTAATTTATTGACTCTGAAAAGGGCCTTCTGCATAATGAGCAGTTTTACTTATGCCACTTTAAGTATACTTTGATGCTGTCCTTCTACTTGATTAATAAAGCAGGACTTTTACGTAAAACAATGTTTTTATACTGTGGTATTACTACTTTTTCTTAAGTAAAGGGTCGTAATACTTCTTCCACCACTGCTAACATGTTCGCCATATCAACTTAGAAGTGAAAGAGACTGCAGGTTTAGTAGGAAAAAACCAAGTTTACACCCTCCTCAGATGTATTAAAATGATTTTATTGATAGAACACGAAAAAGATGTATCACCTCAACAAAACAAGTGCTTCTGTAGTGCTGACAGCCCTCATCCTTATCTCTCAACACCACCATACTAATCATTTTATGAGCTTCTCCTGATTGCCAGCCGTCATGGGAGTATAAACAATTGCAGGAAGGTGGGGCATCCAAGATGGAAAAAAATGGGGACTTGCGTACGTCCTTTATGGATCATCCTGAGAATGGCTAATATACATAAGCGTACATTCATCAGACCACCCAGTGCTGACTGTAGTCCACCAGTGGAACAAGTGGCACAGGGCAGAAAGGTGTTTTATTTGTTCTCGCCAGTATGTCAGGGACAGAAACGAAGACAGAGGTCTTCACAATAACTGAGGCGGGAGAGTCGGCACCTGAGAGAGGCAACATGAACAAGACGAGGTGCATCTTTGAGAAGTACGTGCAGCCCTGCCTGGCCGAGCTGTTTGGGACGAGCCTGTTCGTGTTTGTGGGGTGCGCCTCCGTCGTTGGGAATGTGGAATTGAGTGTCATCCAGCCTGCCGTGGCACATGGACTGGCGCTGGGAGTGCTGATCATGGTGTTAGGGCCAATTAGGTAAGGACTGCTAAATAATTGATTGTGTATGTTTTTGAGGTGACTGAATATTTCTTGTTTTTACAATATCAGAAAGGTCTTAATTCCATCCTAAAAGCAAACAAAAGCCTACTTATTAAAAATGAATTTGTCTTATGTGAGTCAGTAATAGTGGATTTTAAGTTCCAAATAGTTTGATACAACAACGTTTTATGTATATATATATATATATATATATATATATATATATAATCTTATGTAACATTTGTTTATTCCATGTCTGAGGTGACGTTACCAGTATGCACCATTTGAGGGTGAAGATCATTGTGTTTATTGCAGTGGGGGCCACTTTAACCCCGCGGTGTCTCTGAGCGTCTACCTGTGTGGAGGGATGGGGCTTCCTCTGCTGCTGCCTTATGTGCTGGCTCAGATGTGTGGAGGCATGATCGGTGCTGGTTTGACCAAGGTGAGAAAAAAACTGTGAAAGTCCAATTCTGCCAAGACAAAAAATAAAAAAATGATGAAAAAATTTAAATACTCATGATAGTAAAATGTTTGACTTACTATTTCAAAATAATTAGTTAAAATATCAGATAATATAGACCTAGTAATTCAAAATGTTGACATATTATCGAAACATTTTGACGAAATATTTTTTTTAATCATGACTTAGTTACTCAAAATAATGCATTTCAATTTCATGAGTTTCATAAGTACATATTTTTACTTATTTCTTAATTTTTACCATTTTTTTTTTATCCTGGTAACACTTGGTCTTGATTTCCTGGTAGCTGTGTTGGGTTGAAGATAAATAAAAGATGAAAAGAAATGAAAAGAAAACCAGTGAAGATAGATATTTAATTTGATCTCCCGTCAGGCGATGTTCCCCCCAGATGTGTATGCTGCGTCCCTCGGAGGAGCCTTTAACGTAGTCAACAAAGATCTGGGTACAACCACTCTGGCTGAGGCGATGATGAGCCTGTTCCTCACCACGGTGGTGTGCATGGGGGCCGTCAACAGCCAAACCCGATCACCGTGGGTTCCTTTCTGCATCGGCCTCACTGTGACAGCCAACATATTTGCCGGGTAAGAGCCTCAGGGGAAAGTCATCCCCAAACATCACCATTATTCCAGCTATCAGTCTTCCAGATCACAGCAAGACATTTTGAAATACTGAGGACATGATGAATATTTATTTATTGATTTAGTTAGCTGTTTCTGCAAGTTGTATTTCTATGACGCAGTTCTTATTCCTCTGCTCCAATGCTCATAAAGTCAACTAACTAGAAAAAATGCTCTATTTTCCAAGCTGAAATTCTGGCCTAAAAGTTTCTCATTTCAAATATACTGAGTCTGAAAATACTGAATTCACTCTTCAAAAATATGAGTTTTTCAAAATAGAAAGATACGGACTACATCAGTGACTCATACTTTCTGCCACCTTGACCAGAACTCTCCTCCACACGTGTATTTATTGTTATTACTTATCAGCTGGATGTCAAGGTTCATCCTTGGTTTGGGTTATTACCTTGATAAAGGCAGTTTCATGTTTAATCAAATCTATCAACGTAAAACATCCAGGGACGATTTGGATGCAACCCTCTTATTTTGTTTAAATATTCTAATCTGCAAAATAACAAGTCATGGGCAGAATTTTGGTTTTATGGTGCATTAAATAATTATTGCATTACTTCCTTTCTCCGTTGAGGTAACCACTACTTCCAAAAATGAAAAGCATAGTGTTGTGCTGTGTCACCAGCTGAGTTACAGTGTTGGCATGTGCTGGCTGTTGTCTCAGGGGGACGTTGTCTGGAGCCTGTATGAACCCTGCCCGAGCCTTCGGCCCTGCAGTGGCTGCAAACCACTGGAGCCATCACTGGATCTACTGGGTCGGACCCACTTGTGGCGCGCTGGTCACTGTCATCTTCATCAGGTATTTACAGTTGAGAGCACAGTGGTAGTTCTCCACTGTTACTATTTAACAGGCTTTGTAGATGTTTTTTTAAAAGTAAGTATTTATTGGTTGCATGCAGAGGGAACTGTTAAAGGTATCCTTTTACTTTTTTGACCACTAGTGGCGCTGTGGAGCAATGTGTTTACGAGCTGGTTCACATCCTGCCAATGATTTAATGCTATTCCACTGATCGACAGTTGGTGGCGGCAATTCACAACAAACAGCAATGTGCCAACAGAAGCCATGAAGAAGATGCAAACACGGCTGTATACCATGCAGCGTTTGACATACTTCTTTGTGGTTGAGCCAAACATCAGTGGGTGGAGCCAAAGAAGCATAAATGAAAAATACGGAGATGGCTTCTTTTCAATTTATATGCCACACGTGATGCTGAAAGGTCATGCAGTGTACATGTGACTATCGTATGTGGCTTTTTCCTAGTAAGTAAGTGTATAACAGTAGCAACCTCCCTCCTTTTCCACTGGACTTCAGTCTAACCTTACACAGAGACAGAAACTGCGCCCCTGTAACTCCACCCAGTGAGCTTCAGCTTTATGACAGTCTGACCTCTGACCTGCTTGTCTGTTTTCATTCAGTCGAGCTATTTATTTCACTTCTTAACCATGTAAAGATACAGTAATGAGACAGTGGGCCCCTGGGAACAGACGTGTAAAAGACCCCCAGAGTCTGAGAGGTTCAAAGCGATTGTAATCATTTTCTTTGTCTTTGTGGGTGTTTTGCATCTTTTTATGTGCATTTTGCGTCTTGTAGTTGTTTTGATGTGATTCCAGGGGCCTGTGCCCAGTAGAATCGTTCAATAATCCATCCATGTTCTCATCATGATATTAAATCTACTCAGTGCTGATGTAAATGACGAATAATTGACAAAACACTTTTTCTTTTATAGGTTGCTGTTGGGCGACAAGAAGACCCGAATTGTGTTGAAGTGAATGTGTCATTTATCAAAGAGGAGTGAGAGGACGTCCCGACTGACTCGATGACAGTGTTTACCATTTGGATGTTCATACAATACTCAACAATTAGACTGTAATATTGTGATTTGTCAGTAAAAAGTGTGCACATATATTTCCCATTGAACCAGTGATAATTGTTGGCCGCTACTCAATGAAACGTTTTTATTTCAAGATTCAATAAAGTGTTTGATGATGTGATATGATAGCTACTCCTTACTTGGACTTTACATGCTCGGTGACTGCTGGAAGACGTCCAGAGACATTTGATATTCATACAAATGATCACACATTCTGTTATCTATTAACAGTCTTTTTGCACTCATTCGTTTGGATTTAAAGTCCTCAGTGGAAGTACAAATCAGCATTGTACTTAATGTGCAGGTGCAGAAGCAATCACACATAGAAACTGCATAGAACATTTTCGCTTCATTTGAGTAGTGAAGGAAAACGTAATCAAATAATATACCTACAAACTCAACTTCTAAAGGTTCTGTAATATATGAATACTACTAAAAAGTCAGTTTTAAATACAGATGGGTGACAAAGCAAAAGACAATCCAAGCCTCCAGGGGGATGAACAGCAACAATGCAAAAGTAAAATGCAGAACAATTCATCCTTATATGGTGTTGTATGATACATTTTATATTATAAGGTTATTACTGGTGTATTAATGTGCATCCATTTATTGTTGTAGTTGGTTGAGGTGGAGTAAATCTTGACTGTATGTATTGGACGGTTTGCTTTAAAGTTGCTGCCCTAGAATTATGAAAAACTTTATTTTGGAAAGTGTTCAAAAGAAGGGGATTGTTTGAAAATATATATATATTAAAAAATATTGCAGATAAATAGAAACTTTTTCTTATATATGTTGTAATAGACACTATAAGGACTCAATTAGAGACTAAATAGCCACTGCTTAGTGTTTTGATGATGGTAGTGGACCTCTCTAGTGTGCACGAACCAGTGTGCAGTAGTGTGAAGTTTATGGTTCAGCGCTTATAGGCTAATTTGATGTCATCACACTCCCAGAGCATTTTCTCTGAGCATCTAATAATGAGGCTTTGGGTTTACATTAAAGCCTGGTGCGTCTCATACAGAAGCTAAAGGGGTTTCCTGCGTCGGTGTCAGACGTTATTTGACGCCCTGGGATCAAGAACAGGCTGAATTATGATGACTACCATTTATCTGACCCCACTGACTGAGGTCAACCTCGAACAGCTTGTGTATTGTTTTAAACCTTATGCCCTCTTTTTCCAAAGGTGACTATGTGGACTCCTGGATCAACTCACCTGACTCCCTCTGGAGAGGTGTCAAAGGACTTGCTTGGGCGGGGATTGTATTGATTCAATGAATCTTAGAATAGCCCTCAGCTTTGATGTTTTATGACCCGTGATGCAACTCCAGTTCAGTGTGCCAGCCTGCCGGAGATGAACATATATAACCGCAGCGCATTTCAGTTCCCTTGACTTAGTCTGCAGGCTGGGTCAGGGGTAGGTGCTGGAGGCGCAGAGTATTTTGTGACAATCCAACTTGGAGCAGAGGTCTCTTATTAAAAAGGCAGAAATAAAACAAAGCAGCAATGGGAGTTGAGAAAATGGAAATGGAGGACACAGACTCTGCTCTAATGGAGAAGGGCCAGAAGCCACCCGCGCCCAAACCTCCCAACAAATACGAAACTTTCTTCCAGCCCTGCCTGGCCGAGATAGTGGGGACCATGTTCTTCGTTTTCGTCGGCTGCTTGTCCGTCATCGAGAACGTGCCGGCTGCATGGACTGGCTGTGGCGGTGATGGTGGCGGTCATGGATAACATCAGGTAAAGGTGTAAAGTAAAGTAGAGTCAGATGCAGGCGTTTGGAAGAGTCCTATATTTTGAGTGGAATGGGTAGAGGGAAAAAACAGTTTCCCATCTGATCTCTACATTTCTCTGCTGCTTTTTCTTCCTCCAGTGGCTCCCATCTCAACCCTCCCTTCACTATTGCCATCTACCTGTGTGGAGGCATGGATCTGATGATGGTGGGACCCTACCTGGTCAGCCAGCTAATTGGAGGAGTGCTGGGAGCTGGAATGGCCAAGGTCAGTTGAAAGTCTAGCTAAAAGAAAGACTAGCTAATCAAATTGCACGATATTCTAAAAGCATGCTGGTTTGGGCTTTTTCTTTTTTTTGCACACACTTAAGCATATCAAATCCTAGTATTCAAATCCTTAACAATACATTTGATAGATAATGACCCCTACAGACCGCTACTTAAACGCCACAGGGGCCGCATTCGATATCCTCAAGTCAGAGAGCCAGCAGACCGGAGCCATCTTCGGGGAGGTGGCCATGACCTGCTTGATCACCATGGTGGTGCTGCTGGTGGCGGTCAACAGCAAGACGAAAACCCCGCTGGCTCCGTTCCTGGTGGGCTGCACCGTCATCATCAACGTCCTGGCGGGGTGAGATAAAAGGGCGAGGTCCATTATGTGTGTTTATTGAGCACCGTGTTTAAACATTAACGTTCGATCTCAAAGTTACCTCCCTCGGTTGCTATGCTTTCTTGCATGAGTCAGCTTTTCTGATAGTGCTCAGTGGGTGTTATTGTGTTTGCGTTGAGCGCTGGCTGAATTGAAGTTGCTACAGCATGCGACAGTCCTTCTCCGAAGCTGGCGCCCACTCTCCTCCAGGCTAGGTATAGTCACCAGCAGCAGGAAGTGAGGTGGAGGAAGCACAGGGTTTTATACTTTTCTCATTTGTGGTCTGATAAACAGTAAATCCATAAAGATGCCATGTCGTTATTCTTCAAGCTACTCTAGCTGTCATGTTTTGGAAGTGGCCGTGGTTTCATTCTCCTAGCCGCTTGCCAAATATTACAGCTACACTAGCTTGAAGAATAACGACATGGCATCTTTATGGAGTTACTGTTTATCAGACCACAAATGAGAAAAGTATAAAACCCTGTG